ATACTGAAGTGCCATTATTTAAAAAATAAAATTCCCATCTCCAGAAAAGAAATGTGAACTGAAAGGAAGCTGAATATGAACATTGGTGTTGTCTGGAATCATCTGCCCAGGGAGGTGGTGGAGTCACCATCCCTGGATGTGTTTAAAAAAAGATTGGATGTGGCACTTGGTGCCATGACCTAGTTGAGGTGTTAGAACATGGGTTGGACTCGATGATCTTAAAGGTCTCTTCCAACCTAGAAATTCTGTGATTCTGTAATATCAAAATGTACAACACAAACTTGGGAAAGCACTGTATGTTCTTCTCTGTGCCTCTGTCGGCCTTCCCACAGCAGTTTGGTGTTTGTGTTTTATTCAGTGATCAACGAAGCTGCCGTTCTGAGGAAGCACAACCTGTTTGAGGATAACCTGAGCGTGCCCTGCGAGAGCGTGTCCAGCCTGACGGAGCTGAGGACCCCCGTGGGATCAGCACAGGGCACCCCCGCCAAGGCACCCGCAGCGCCCCGAGCCGAGAGCTCCGACACCGAGAGCCACGGGGACGAAACGCTCGTTGTGACAGGGAAAATCGTGTGGGAGAAGGATGCCGATGAGGGAAAGTCAGCAGACAAAGAGGCAGGTGCCTCTGCTGGTGCAGCTGGTGATCAGGCCAGCAGGAGGGAAGCAGTGGCTGTTACAGACATTGGTGACAAACAGGAGTCGCCTTCGGCTGGCCACACTAAACAAGGGGCTGCAGAGGGAAAAAGCGCGTTGGAGAATGTATCAGAGTGTGTAGTGAGCACTGAGGGAGAGCTCAAGGCACAACAGAAAGCTGTGGAGGAAAAAGTAGCTTCTGGGACTGACACTGCAGTAAAAAATGTTGAAGCCAGCCCTAACAAAGAACTGAAGGTACCTGAAGGAGCCGTGGAGGAAGAGGTGACTTCAGAGAGTCAAACAGTAATGGCTGCTGTGTCTGTCAGTGGCACTGAGAAAGCAAGCACAGCACAGGAGAAAGTTTCTGAGATAAAGCTCACTTTCCCACTTGAGAGTGTAACAGATACAGAGATTTTAGGGGGTGCAGAAAAGAAAAGCATGGTAGAAAATGAAACTGTGGGAAAATTATCTCAGAGTGAAAATGCACTAGGAACAGGGTTTGAAGGGGATAGTAAAAAAAGTGGTGAGAGTACTGAGACAAAGATCGTTTCCCAGGATGAAAAGACAGGGAAAGCAGAGTTTGGGGATAGTCCTAAAAAAGAAAGCCATTCTGAAGAAAAGAGTAGTAAATCCCCCGATGATGTGAATGAGATAAGGAGTTTGCTGATGCTGACAGTTGAGATCCCAGCAGATACTCCAGCTGAGAACATAAGGGAGGTCTGTGAGGGCGAGCTGCTGAAGTTGCAGGAGCACCGTAATGGGAACTACGAGTTGAGCGAAGTGGCCGTGGCAGAAATTCAGGTGAGCCAGAAGATGAAGAGTGAAGACGCAGCAGAATGTGTGGAGTTCAAGGAGGAGCGGCCGTCCTCAGCCAGCCTGGGGACAGATGGTACGAGGGTAGAGAGCGTGCCCAGGGGGGCACAAGCACCGTGGCTGGTGGAGAGCTGGGCTCCACCTCAGGAGTCAAAGGCAGAGGTGGAGAGCAAACCGAGTGTGTGGCACGCAGGTGCGGGAGGGGAGAGGCTGCAGCCGGAGGAGCACAGGGGAAATGCGGTGGATGGGGAGCAAGGAACCGGGAACAGCCACGCTGTCCCGGGAGAGGCTGGGACACAGAGCTCCTTTCAGAGCCCTGCTGCAGATGCAGCCACGAGGGACGTGCCCATCCTGGACAGAGCAAACCCGGGCCCAGGACTGCTGGAGCCGGTGTCCCTGCAGCCGGTGTCCCTGCAGCCGCAGCCCGGCGCAGAGCTCACGGCAGGCACAGAGCCTGGGCGGCGAGAGGGGGAGCCGGGAGATCAGCCCTCTTCACTCGCAGGAATTCAGAGCACCGGAGGAAAAGCGACTCTCCCAGAAGAACACCGAGAAGATGGTCCTGCACAGCAAAACTCTGAGGAGTAAAGAGCAGCTTTCGGGCCAGCCCTGCAGGACCTTTCACTCCAGTGATCCCTGTGCAGTTTGGAACACTCGTTCAGGTCGGGGCTGGAGGAAATGCGCTTTGCTGTGGTGTCCCCAGCTCCTGCAGGTTTCCCGCAAATCCCTTCCTGAGGGATGGGTGGTGGGTTTCCTTTTGGTTAAAACCAGATTACTGCTGAGGAACTTCATCTGTCACTTCAAATCTGCTCCCTTTTAAAGCTAGAGAAGAAGTCTGGAAATGTGACCACTGAATGCTTCAAACTATCATCAATTTATTTTAACAACTTAGCTGTTCTTAGGGATCCTCTTGGTTTTTAAATGCATGGTTTTGACAAGTACCACTCTGATTCTGGTGATTGGTACCTACATACTCGAGGATGCTTATAGTATTTGCATGCAATATACAGGAAATAAAAACATTTTTTAGTAGCAAACAGAACCAAATAGTTGATTTAGTAGATTGCTGAAAAGCCACACTGTGCAAAATCTGCAAACTGATTACTTAATTATTTTCAAGTTTTGGCAGATATCAAAGACAAGCAAATATTCTGATTTTTTTTTCTCTCTCTTATTGCTGTATTTAAAAAGGGGAAAGTATGGGAGCAGGTTTCTCAGTCCCACTCTGCACTTCAGGGTTATTTAGCCTTCCAGAGCACTTTATGGCTATTTTGTTTTGTTTTGTTTTATGGAAGGGAGAGGAGAGAATGTTTACAATAACTCTCACCATTAGGCAGCATTTCTCTGGTTTAAATCCCACCATAAAATAGATTCACTTACAGCTATTTCATACAGAATATCGAGTCCTGCCAGTCCCATTCCCACTGAGTTACTCAGGTCTGTAGACCTCCTTAGGTGTGGAAATCATGTAATAAGTGGCAACAATTGTGAAATACTAGAATCATTGCATCCAATTTCTAATGCAGATGTTAACTGAAGTGACAGGCAGCCAGAAGTTGTTTTTCATGTTCTCAGGTTTGGAGGGCAGAATCACATCACAAAAGCAGTTATTAAAATGAGACAGTTGCTTTCATACACACGATCTGTATCAAGCCGTGATCTTGGCACAGAGTTGCTTAAATATGTTCTTTGCATCTCAGTTTGCACAGAAAAGCTTGGAGAGGAAACCCAGTATTTTTGTAAATTGGCCTTTCAAATGCAAGACCTCATTTTGGAGGTCAGTTTAAGGCACCTTGAAATTCTGGCCCGGTGTTTTGGGCCTGTTTCTGAATGTCATACAGTGCAGAACAGCAAATATCAATTATAATTGCAGCAAGGACTGCAGGATTTATGCCCATAAAGACACAGGGAGAAATAACAAAGTCCCAGGAGCATAATATGTGTTAACATTTAACTTCAGCAAACTATGCAGAGTCTCTTTTAATGCTATCAAAATAGTCTTTAATACTAACAGAAAATTGACACTAGAGGAACAGGCAAATATTACTGTGTGAGGAAGGGACCTTGTTGAGTAACTGGATTAACTACTCTGTCACTACAGTAAAATAAATGCAGTTCCTATTTATTCTAGAAGCTGTACTGTGGTATGGAAACGTGAAGGTCACAGATGTTTTCCTTGCAGAACTACTTTGACTCGTTTCCTCCTTCTATTTCATGCAAAAATACTAATTTGGAAATACACAAGCCACTGCCAGCCACTTTTTTTTTAACAAATCACTGGTTATTTCACTGTCAGCTGTTTCATTTTTACAAATCATTAACTATTTTTAATTGGTACTGTGTTAAGTGATTTCAAATTTATAAAGTGCCCTAGAGTTAAGCAGCAGCAAGCAGCCTTTTAAAGCTAAAATTAGGAGACATTATGGGGTTTTAGTACTTTTTTTTGTATGAAAGGCAGCATGGCAGGAAAAAAGACTGCAGCCTTCTGCAAAAGGAAACAAATTCATTCTATATGAATTAGATACATCTGTACAGAGAGCATTTTTGCATAAGTATTTCCATAATGGTAATTTTGGAGTTATTTCTGTGGCAGGCCTAGATCTGGGTAATATTTTCCTGTGACACGTGTTGCATTGCTGAATGCAGATGCTCAGATGTTTTTCACCAGACGGATGGGTAAGGATGGGGAAGATTCAGCCTGTATAATTTAAATTGCAGCTCCTCGTGGCCAGGGAACTTTTTTCCCGGCTTGGGGCATTTTCTGCCCGTTTCCAAATAGATAAAGTAGTGTTTTTCTAGTCTTTACCACAGTTGGTTAGAAGCGACAGCTTGGTTAGAAGAGCTCAGCAATCTGCAAGGTTACGTGGGACCACTGATCAGGAATGATAATAACGCAGCCATTGCGTTGTTTTTGTTGCTTTCTTGCCGTTTCCTTCTCAGCCCGGGAGCTGTAATAAATCCCCTCTCTCTGGAACTTTGTACAAACGCTCGCCGCGGAAATAAAGACGCTCTTCCCTTCCACTGCTGGGAGGCTGCTTTTGTGAGGGTGTGATAATTTGGGGGGGGATTTTATTAAAGGAACGTTTCTTTCCTCGGGCAGTGACGGCAGCGATTCCAGCACGGAGCGGGGAGTTTTTAGCGGAGCACGGAGTGACAGCGTGAGGGGGGAACGGCTTCAAACTGAGTGTTGGATTGGGTATTTAGGAGGAAGTTGTTCTCCGTGAGGGTGGTGAGGCCCCATCACAGGGGGCCCAGAGAAGCCGAGGGGGCCGATCCCTGGGGGCGTGCGAGGCCGGGCTGGAGGGGGCTGTAAGCACGGGGCTGTAAGCACACCGCTGCCCACCACGGGCTGCTCTGCACGGCCCGTCCGTCCCGAGCCGCCCGGGAGCGCCTGAGGGAGCGCGGCGCGGGGCACGCCGGGAGCTGTGGTTCCCCGCCTTTTGTCCACGTCGCCCCTCTCGTCACGCCTTCCCCTGCCGCCTCACGTGACCGGCGCGCCGCGCTCCCCCATTGGCCCGGCGGCGCGCGCTGGGCGGGGGGGGCGGTGCCGGAAGCGGCGGCGGCGCGGAGCGGGCAGCCGGCCGGCCGCCATGGCCCTCAGCGGAGCGCCGCGCTGCCGCGCCGCGGAGCGGCCGCCCCGCTGGAGGAGGCCCTGGAAGCTCCTGGCCCTCGGCCTGCTCTCCGCCTCCTCCGTGCTGGCGGCCGCCCCGGGCGCCGGGGCCATGAGCAGGGAGGAGAAGCGCCGGCTGGGGTGAGCGCCGGGACGGGCGGCGGGCAGGGAGGCAGGCAGGGAGGGAAGGACGGCGGGCCGCGCCGCGCCGGGCTGGGCTGGGCTGGGCTGGGCTGGGCGGCAGCGGGTGCAGCGCTTCGGGACGGCGTCCCCTGTCCGCCCGTCTGTCTGTCCGTCCGTGTGTCCGCCCCCGAACGCTCCGGGGCACGCGTGGCGGCCCGTGCCGGAGCCTGGCGGGGGCTCCGGGCCGGCCCGCCCCGCTGTGGGGTCAGGCCGGGGGCTCGCCGCTCGCCGTGCAGGTCCCGGCCGGGGCTTGCGCGGGGCTCGGGGCTCGGGCGGGCCGAGGGAAGGGCAGATCCCCCCGGGCCGGTTTAACGATGGCCCTGCCGCCCCGAGAGCGCGGCACCCGCTCGCAGGTGAAGGTTCACGCGTGTTCTGCCCGCTCCCTGTGTGTGACCCACGCTGCTCCGGCCCCCCTGCACCTACGTGTGAGAGGCTGAGCGCTTTATCGTAGTTTTTAGTTGAAGGGTAATATTACAACCAAATATTATACATTTTCCTTCATGCAGTGGGATTTTTTAAAAACCAATTTCCAATCAAACAAATTTTGTCTTAATATGTTTCTGAGGCAGTTTCATCGTCCTCCTCCCATCCAGTGGTCCGGTGTACAGAACAATAATGCAGAAAGTCTGCTGGAGAGGCAGTGTGGATACTCTCACAGTTGTTAATCACGGAGTTGTTAAGGTTGGAAAAGGCCTCCAAGATCATCGAGTCCAGCTGTCGTGTATAAGTTGATATTTAACTCCAGTGTTTACAGTTACTGGGCTTTTCCATTATGGGCTCTCAGGATAATTTGTGTGTGCAGTCTTTTATATGTTTTCTTCACCAGGCTGCACAAGGAGTTGAAATTTCATTCCCCAATTTGTTTTAAAATTTTTGCATTGCACTTGAAGTATCATCTGATGCCCCAGGCGTGTGCAGGCCATGTCCTGCTGTGGTTTGTGTTTGCCTGTAAATGTTAGTTTTCAGCAGTTTGTCTGTGTGCTGCATCACCCAGCAGCTCTGTGTGTTTATCTGGGATTTTTTTGCCTGCTGCTACCTGAGAGGCACCTGGGAAAAGCACCATCCTCTACTCTTTTGATGCCTTAGTGCACTTGATGAGTTAAAATTACTTCTTGAATTTCCAAGTCGTTGAACTAAATTGGATATTTACAATATAATTGTGGCGTTCCTGGCTCTTTTATGTTCTGTCTTATCAGCAGAGATTGTGAATTATGTTGATGGTAGAAATTAGCATCCTTTATTCCTTGCAGGGCTCCTTAGTGAAACAGTTAGGAATGATCAGAAGTAGTGCTGTGTCTTAAAAAAACAATGTGGATTTTTGGGAGTTTTTATGTGTAGAAGCATTTCTGTCCTTTCAAACACAGGAAACAAATGTAAGGGTTTTCTTTAGTATTTGCTTGCCAAGAAATAATTCCATGTTAGGTGAAGAAAGAGTCTTTCCTTTCTGGGGTGGACAATAGGAGCTGAATCAAGAAAAATTATTATTATATATTTCATTTACTTGAGTAGAATATGTTAGTAGAAGACCTGCACCTGCCGTTCAGACATTGAAGTGTGATACATGTAAGATGGTGTGTTAAAGGCCATTGGGAGACAGACCACTAATGCTTTTTCTTTTTTTCTTTTTTAGAAATCAAGTGCTTGAAATGTTTGATCATGCATATAGCAATTATATGGTAAGTCAAATACTTGTTTGGCGTTTTTCAGAGGAGTTGTTGCTGACCTGGGGGAGAAAGCAACCTACAGTACATGACATTCTATAGAAATATCTGGGAAGGAGTGGTGAAAATGAAGCTAAAATAAACAGCACCTATAGAGCCTTCAGAAAGACCACAAGTATTACTTTCAGGAGGGTTGTGATGGCTTTTAGAGTGGTAACTAAGAATTGCTTGTGGTAACTCTTCTAATCCATTCCCAACCTTTCCCAAACCAGTTCATCTCATGTCAGGCTGTCAGCAGTAAAGTATTTGGTTTGAAATTCCAGGAAAATGAAATTTGGAAGAGCTGTCTGTAGTCATTACACTCTGGAGAACACAAATTGATCTTACTTATTTTGTAGGTAAAAATTGCATTTAATGTTTCTTCAGTGGTAAGCCATGTCAGATGCAGTTTGGGTGTTCTTCTACAAACTTTGTGGAAGAGAAAGGGAATGTGGTGCCATATCCAGGCATTCCAGGCTGTGCCCAGGGTGTGACTGTCATATGACCATGGGCCATGCTGGCTGTGGTTTCTTCTGCTCTGACTTGTGATTCCTGTGCAGGTGTCCTCCCGTTCTGCATCTCTGAGCCCTTCCACACACCCTGCTCTGCCTCTGTTTACAAAAGCTTAACAATAAATGGCTACTTGGAGTGGACTTCCTCAAGCAAAAATCACTTTCAAACATTCTATAAGTAATACACTTCTGAGGAGAAAGTGTGGATGTGACTAAGATAAAAATAAAATATTAATTCTTACTGGCTTCATATGGACATTCTTGCTCATTCTTTGTGGCTGTTACAGAAACCCCTCTGAAGTTGCATCAGTTCCTGCAGCACAAACTGCTCTTCCCTGCAGCACAAACTGCTGTTTCCCTGCAGCATCTTGCCACATGTCCCAGGTTCTGTGTTATGGTTTAAACTTTAATATGTAATTCAAACTAAAATCTTAGGAGTTAAAACTTCATACATCATGGGAGAGATACAGGACTGTGGAGTGGACAGAAAGCCAAGCCAAGAGGATTTTCAAAGGGGTGCAGTTTCTCCTTTTAACTTAAGCTCTGTACTTTTGAAACCTTTAGCAGTTAAACATCAAGGCTTTTTGGTCATAATTTTCGTAATCTGGTTCCATGAAAAACACTTGGCTTTGATTTCCTCAATGGAAAATTTATGTGTTTGGCAAAATTGGATAAAATATTACAAGGAGCTGTGCTTCTACTGTTCGTTGTGTGATAAATTGGCAGCTGGTAGGGGTCTTGCCACATCTGAAGCAAGAAAATTCTGTTTGAAGGAGAGAGAAAACTTCAGCTATCCTGGGAACTTTGAAGCCAAAAGGATATTTATTTGCCACGTATGCTGGAGCACTAAACAAACAGAGAAATGTGACTTGCTTGTTTAAAGTTGAAGAAAAGATTAGAGTACCAGACTTGATTCTGACAACAGGGGAATGAAGTATTTTTGCAGGTGTTTGTGAAACAGCCAGCTGAAAAGTTTTGATTTTCTGTTTCTATTAATACGTATTTTAGACATGCGTATTTAGAAGACTGAAAATTCACGTTTGATTGCAAGGGAAATTCCCTTGCCTTTTTTTTTCCTAAGTTGTTGACAGAAGCTTTGAGAAAAAGCTGCTGGATTTTTTTTATTCCATCAACAACATTTGTAATAATGGGGATATTTTTCTTCTTGGTTGTCAGAACACGTGAAAATGTCAGTCACTTGAGGCCAGTGACAAGTTGGGAAATAGCTCAATCCAATAGCTGCTTATTTTCTGCTGTAGGCTTTTGTTTTTCAAAATGCATCAAGTTCTTTATTTGTAAAGCTAAAAGTTTATTTTTCCAGATTTTTTATCATTTCTCTTATCCAAAATTTAAGTCAGAGATCTCAGTTTTGACATTGCTTTTGTTGTGGACTTCTTTAATCTGTTTTTCTGAATACTTTGCAGAGATATTCAGAAACATCTAAGCTGCATTAAAATGATCTAGATTCTGCTTTTTGTAGTTAAACTTGAGGAGAACAAAGACTTGAGCAAAGACCAAAACACTCAGGAGGGTGGTATACAGGGAAACAAACCATCAGTTTCAAAAGAAATTGCTGCAAGAGCTGTTTATTTATAGAGGAATGTTCCTTTTTTATTTTTATTTCATGCTTGAATACAGATTATTTTTGTACCATATATTTGGAAAGATTTTGAATGTGTTTACTTGCAGTTTCAGTGCAGCAATAGAAGTTTTTTGTCCTGCCACATAGTTAGTTCTCCACTAGAAGTCAAACTGGAGACCTCAGTACAGCAGCCAGTTTCCTGCTGAAATCAAGAGAAAAGCTCTATCCCAAACCACTTGTGTTCAGTTTCTAGACGAGGCAATTTCATGTTAGCTGGAATTAGATATATTTAAGATTCATTGTCATTGATGTCAGTCTTATATTTGTTATATTTGTAAAAGCTCAGTCTTGTTAGTTGGTTTTTTTTTTTTTGTGAATGTTATCTTTTATGTCTTATGTAGTAATTCATCAATGTTTTGTTTGAGCTTCTGAGTTCTCTTACCTGTCTTGACTGTCACCCTCAGCCAGGTGAGTTCATTGTGCAGAGTCCAGTGGAGGGCCATCAAGGTGATGGAGAGGCTGGAGCATCTTCCCTGTGAAGAAAGGCTGGGGGAGCTGGGGCTGTTCAGCCTGGAGAAGGGAAAGCTCCAGGGAATTTAACAAGGGAGAGAGCTTTGATTGTTCAGCCTGGAGAAGGGAAAGCTCCAAGGAATTTAACCAGGGAGAGAGCTGGGGCTGTTCAGCCTGGAGAAGGGAAAGCTCCAAGGAATTTAACCAGGGAGAGAGCTGGGACTGTTCAGCCTGGAGAAGGGAAAGCTCCAGGGAATGTAACAAGGGAGAGAGCTGGGGCTGTTCAGCCTGGAGAAGGGAAAGCTCCAAGGAATTTAACAAGGGAGAGAGCTGGGGCTGTTCAGCCTGGAGAAGGGAAGGCTGCAGGGAATTTAACAAGGGAGAGAGCTGGGGCTGTTCAGCCTGGAGAAGGGAAGGCTGCAGGGAATTTAACAAGGGAGAGAGCTGGGGCTGTTCAGCCTGGAGAAGGGAAGGCTGCAGGGAATTTAACAAAGCAGGCCATCAAGAAGACAGAGCCGGGCTCTTTGCAGCAGTGCTCAGAGGAAATGGGCATAAATTGAACTGCAGGAGGTTCCCTCTGAACAAGAGGAACACTTTTACACTGTGGAGTTGACCAGGTACTGGCACAGGGTGCCCAGAGAGGCCATGGAGTCTCCCTCTGCAGATGCTCAGGAGTTTTCTGGACATGGTGCTGGGCAGGTGGCTCTGGTGGCCCTGCTCCAGCAGAGAGCTTGGACAAGATGAACTTTGGAGCTCCCTTCCCACCTGCAGGGCTCTGTGGTGGCCGTGCAGGTTCTCTGAAGAGCAGCATGATGAGGATTCCTTTGACAGGCTCCCAAGGGTGGCTGTGAGCACTGTAACTGATTCCCCTGTTTTGTTCCCAACAGGAGCATGCGTATCCAGCTGATGAACTCATGCCTTTAACTTGTCGTGGACGAGTGCGGGGTCAGGAGCCAAGTCGAGGGGATGTGGATGATGCCTTGGGAAAGTTAGTGTCTGAAATGGTCACTGTAAACATCTAGGAATAGAAGTACAATTGGCAGCCCATAAAACTTGTTTGTTCAGTTGATATGGCCAGAAACTTCCACTTGAAAGAAGTGGTTTTATTATTATGAAGTTAACTTACACTTGTGTTTTTATTATTGTGAAGTTAACTTACACTTGTAAGAAGTGTTTTTGTTATTATGAAGTTAACTTACACTTGTAAGAAGTGTTTTTGTTATTATGAAGTTAACTTACACTTGTAAGAAGTGTTTTTGTTATTATGAAGTTAGCTCATGTGAAATCGGACCTTAATTAGAAGAAGAGAATTGACTAGTGAATGAGATCCAAAGATTTTTTTTAACCATTCTCCCAAGCATTTTCCATAGGAAAACCTTCCAAATGTGGGCTGACATTTATGGTATTAGTAGTACAGGTTATAAGGGTAATGTTGTGCTGAACAGAACAATAAACGCTTTATCCATGATGCTGGGAAAATAAATGATATTTAAAGTGCTTTTTTTTAAGTAGAAAGTTTTCTGAAAACAAGCAGTCAAATGATTGTCATGTGTATGATAGCCTGAGGCCTTTGTCAAAATATAAAACATTATTTCAGACATGGAAATGTTTTCTATTCTTTCTTTCACGGGAGCTGGTAGTACAAAATACTGATCCTTTGGCTAGCAAGATGTAGATTTAAGGACTGGCTTTTTCCATATTAAATGGAATAATCAAAGGCAAAATTGACCTACTCTAAATGCATTTGTAATTGATACCTTTGAATATGTACAGTTCATAGATCAAATTCTTTAATAACAAATAGCAGATTTTTTTTTAATATCACTGTTTAATGTCTCTAAGCACAATAGTGTTAATCAAAGCTGAAATCCTTCTCTTAAACACTGCTTCTAATTTCTTCAGGATATTTGGCATGTTATTTTGCTTATGTTTTCTTATGTACAAATGTTTTTTAGTCTTAAGATTTTCATCTAATCCTGCTGCCTTGGAGGTATCCAAAAATCCAGCAGATGAAAAGTGTAATGAAAGTGTGTTTTGAATCCATTCTTTTTAATGGCCTCTATTAAGAGTGACATACTAGCATTTGAATAAAAATACCTTCTAGCCCCTTAGATGCATTAAATTATTATATGTATTATTTTTTGTATACAGGCTTTATTCTGTACCTTATAGTTGCATTATTTGTAGCAGATTTCTTATCTAATCCTTTTTCTTGCCAGCTGCCTCATCAGTTGTGTTCTCTGCCAGTCTTTGCAATCACAAAATGACAGGGTGAGGCAGCTGGGTCAGTTCTGTTTCCCTGGAGAACTTAAGAGCCTTCCATATAGATGTGAAATGCATCATTTCCCTCCTTTTGTACTGAAAAAGTTGTGAATTTGTTAGGCAGTTGTGCATAGTCGTTAGTTAATCTCTGTCTCCTGTAAAACATCACTCAGAGAATGCCCTTATATCTTTACAAATTAAAGACAATTATAATGTAGGAACACTTAACTAGAATTGTGGTTGTCACATGTTGCCTACAAGGTTTCAGTCATTTGGCACTTACTGAAATCCTTGGTGTGTGCTCCTCAGTAGGCAATTTTAACTGTTCCAAAGTGTTCAGTTTTAACACCATCATGTTCTGTAAATTCTATTCTGTGTTGTGGGTGTGTCTTAGACATATTTAAGAGACAATTATAGATATAATTCCTGGGATGGGGAAAGGTCCTCTCAACTTGGGATGCACTGGGACAGCCCTGGAGAAAACCTCTGATCCTTGTTAGGATCTTCTTGTTTCAGACACTGTGGAGCTGACTTGATGTTCTCTTTTCATGGAATAAACACAGAATCCCAACCTGCTTTGGGTTGGAAGAGCCCTTAAAGCCCATCCAGTGCCACCCCCTGCCATAGGCAGGGACACTTTCCTCTAGCCCAGGTTGCTCCAAGCCCTGTCCAGCCTGGCCTTGGACATTGCTAAAATAGTTCTTTATTTTAGAATAAATAAAGTAGTTCTTTATTTTAAGCCTACCACTTGCTAGTGTTGGAACAGTTTTTGGTATGAGAAATTTAGCTTGGAATGGCTTTTGATCTCAACTTTTTTTTTTTTTTTTGAAAGAGCAAGTGAAACAGAGGCTGGAAAACAACTTAAACTTTTATGCTGGGTTTCTTGATAGATTTGATTTGAGACAAGAAATAAAAATTCAATTTGCTTACCAGAAGTTAGAAAGCCTTGCAGTAAATAAATGTTTCTGTAATCATAGCTTCTTTGTCAGCTCCTATTCTGGTCACTAGCAAAGGGGTGAAACTTAGAAAGAGGTTTTGCTTCTAAAGATGTTGAGTACAACTGATTGTTTTGCAGCTGGTGGTCTGTGAGAATTTAGTTTCTTCCCTGGTATCAGTTACTATTAAAAATCACTTAATTCCTACACATACAGATCTATAGTAAATCTGTTTTTAATTTTCTTTCATAGGTTTTCACTGACCTTAATTGATACTTTGGACACTCTTGTGGTAAGCTTAATCTGTTGATAAGCTTTGATAAAACAAAGGGATTGTCTTCTGATGCTCAGACTTATTTTTAGATTTCTTTTTCATGACTGTTGATCTGTGGCTCTATTTGAAGTGACTGTTGCTTGTGGGAACTTTGAAGTTGGAGGATGAGTTTGGAGTTGGTTGTAATAACTCCAGCAGTTCCTTCACATTCCATTGATACTTTTTATATTGCATTTTTTTGGCTCTAACTTAACACAAAAGGGTTTCCTATCCCTTATAGTCTAAAGCAAGAGGCTCCAGTAGGGGTGGGCACCTCTTAATAACTACTGATGTATTTCTGGTTTAAATTGTATGTTCATATTTCTTGGGTAACTTTGTGTGCACTGAAATATCCTGTATGCAAATACACTGTGACTGCATTAGCTATACTGGAACTGAACACCTGCTCACTGTTGTATTCCAGGTGTTAAATAAAACCAAAGAGTTTGAAGAGGCTGTAAAAAAAGTAATAAAGGATGTTAATTTAGATAATGACATAGTTGTTTCTGTCTTTGAAACCAACATAAGAGTCCTTGGGTGAGTAACTTTTGTTTTCAAAACTCCTAAAAATGTGGATTTTAGGCAGTGTCTTTAAGACACCTTCCAGTGCTATTCCACCTGTTTGAAATGGTTGTGCCTTTGTCAGTTTGCCTGACAGTGGTTTTAAAATGCAAGGCAGGACTTGCTGCAGTGGTGCTGGATCAAGCTGCCCCCATCTCACTGCTGCAGGCACAGCTTTGCTGATTAAGAACCCCATGTGCATGCTGAGGGAGCAGGGGATTTGCTTTAGAGAAACAGGCTTGCAAATGCCTCTGTTCCATACCTGATTTACCACATTCTGATACCTGGGGTCATAGATTATTTCAGCTTGGAAAGGACCTCTGGGGCTCAATGCAGAATCAGAGCATGTAATTTCAAGTTATTATGTGCCATTTTGGAGGTCTTGGTTGCTCTTCCTGTCCAATATTGATGAATCTATGAATCCAATGATAAACAAGAAGAAATGCTTCCAAAATGCTGGTAGCTAACCTTGATTATCATGGGAATTGAATCAGCAGTCTGAAAACTAGGGTCACAGTTATGTGTGTAGAGAGCTGTCCTTGCTGTTCAGATGAACATACCTTCTGAGATGTGGATAATTTCTCTTGTGTTTAGAGGTCTCCTAGGTGGGCACTCAGTGGCAATAATGCTGAAGGAAAAAGGTGAATATATGCAGTGGTACAATGGTGAACTCCTGCACATGGCAAAGGAACTGGGCTACAAGCTTTTGCCTGCTTTTAACACCACTAGTGGTCTCCCTTATCCAAGAGTAAGTTCTGTTTCTCTAATGCAGGATTACAGCTGTAATCACAACTTCTGTTGTTTTGATTTCATATCTGTTTCCAAAATCATTTCTATATTTATTAAGTGGCCAGAAAATTGAAAGCTGATAAATTGTAGTACTCTAAGAGCCAGGAGTAGTGAGATATTTACAAAACTAAATTTCCAGGAACACTTGTGATGTTCTGAGTTCCTGATTTGTTGCTAAAAAAATTGCTCAGATTAGATTTTTAGTGTATTCTCTTAATCAAATGTCTAGTGAACCAGGCAATAGGTTCTTGTTGGGGAGGGTTGAGATTTTGAGTATTTTTGGATAGTTCTCTGTGCATGTCTAAGTTGGCAGAAGAAAACCAAAGGGATCTGTTTTTTCTTGTCTTTAGAAAGAGCATAGATTATATACTTGCTATACAATCACAGGGGTGTAAATTCTTTCAGCTAGGAAAAATAAATATATTAATCTCTATTTTTCTCTAGGTTAACTTAAAATTTGGTGTAAGACATCCAGAAGCACGAACAGGAACAGAAACTGATACGTGTACAGCTTGTGCTGGTACCTTGATCCTTGAGTTTGCAGCTTTAAGCAGATTCACAGGAACATCTATATTCGAGGTTTGCCTTCCACAATATCTTATTTTTTGCTGTAGGTCTTTAGCATAGTGTTTACATTTTGTAATTTTGGAAAAACATTTCTGTGTTCATGAAATGGATGTCTTAGCGGTGTTGCACAAAAGCATTTGTATATGTTGAGATTTGTAGTGTTTGTGGGCTTTCTTGTAAGGTTTGATTTCTTTTTAATCATTTTTTCTATCACAGGAAATAAATTTGATTGAAAGTAATTAGAGTAATACAGAAGTAAACAAGATAAATATTCTGAAGATCAGAAGGAGTTCTGAATTAGACATGAAACATCCTATTTCTTTCCTGGCATCTTAACTGAACTAGCCAGCAGAATCAGAGAGTTCAGTGTCTGTGTTTCCCTAATTCCCTGTTGCTGTTGTTGCAGGAGTATGCCCGGAAGGCTCTGGATTTTATCTGGGAGAAGAGGCAGCGCAGCAGCAACTTAGTGGGGGTCACCATTAACATCCACACTGGAGACTGGGTCCGCAAAGGTGGGGCTGACCCACCCCAGGGGGACTCACCACCCCAGCTGCTTCCCTGCCCTGCTCAATGTTACTGGCACAGGCAGTGAGAAACCTGCTGCCCCAAAGCCTGGCTCTGCTCTCAGAGAGCAAGGCCCTCTCTGGTAGAGAAAGGGGTTTTGTTCATGGCAAAGTGTTCCCTGATCCTCTTTAACGCCAAGAGGGAAGTGCCTTGGGATGAATTTTTGAGACTTTGCTATAAATACATGGGAAAAATATAAATAGGATGGGAGAATGATGTCCTGTGTCTTCAATGCATGTCTGTCCATATTATTGTGTGCAGTGGTAGTACAAAGCCTTTGGCATAGACACACAGTATTGTGTCTCTGCTTCCATCTGTGCCTTAATCCCAGTGAAAAGAGGCTTTTCCTTTCACTGGAAGAGCCTTTAAAATTAAAGTGGGAAAATGTGGAAAATACCCATATTGCTACATAAAGTAAACCCACCTTTTTATTTTCACCTGTTCCTAGATAGTGGAGTTGGAGCAGGAATAGATTCATACTATGAATATTTATTAAAAGCCTATGTCTTGCTGGGAGATGACAGTTTCCTGGAAAGATTTAACACGGTAAGTTAACACCTTGCTCAGGTTTGTGCCTTCTGCAATACAAATTTCAGAGTAATTGTGTTGTCAGCTGTTAGCCTGAGAAGAGATCTGTAGTAAAATTTCTGTGACTTCTGCTGTGCTTAGTGCCAGCTCTTTTTACTGAGGGTTTTTGCTAATCTTGGATGATTAGCTGTCACCTGAGCAGTTATTTTAACCCCATCCAGTAAAAATCAGGGCCTTCTAGGTCTTTATCCATATTCCCAGTATGGGAGAAGCTGTATTTCCAGACCAATACTGCAAATGTTTCTGTAAAAGAACGTAAGGCCCTCTTCTTCCAAGCCATTGTACAATTTCATTCTGTCCCGGAGCAACAGAAAAATCAAAGTGTGGATGTTGCTTTGCACTGCAGATCTTCAGGCCCAGTATACATATAAGTATACAAGCTGAAAACCATGCTTAGTTTTTTTACATTCATAAATTACTGAGCAACTTGGTCAGCATCATAATTCTTTCATAAAAACATTATTTATTTTGAAAATAGCAATATTCATTGAAAATAGATCATAAAATTATTTATATCATATAGCATGATTTTTTAATTAGAAGTGGAATAATTTCATAGTTAAAGTTGTAATACTTTAGGTGTAACGATGATTTCATGGCCCTAAGGAGCAGCCCCCAGTGTTACATTTTCCTTGAGCTAGATCTGTTAAGTGTTTCCTGTCACTTTGGCTCATATGCTCAGGATTGCACCTTCTGAAAACAAAGTTCAGGATTGGAAGTCAGCAACTGGGTTTAGAAGTTCTTCTGAGCCATCCAGTCTAGCTGCTTTGTGTGGGTTTTTTAACCTCCTTTTCCTCCTGAGATCCATATGCTTTGGAATTCTGTTGTTCAGAGAAAGCAATTTCAGCTTTCTTCAGGGTGCTTTAAAATTCAGCCAAAACAAATGTGCCTTAACTGTGATATTCCTGTTTTATCACATGGCTGCTGGATATACTTTTGTGTATATGTATTCCTTGGAAATGTGGAAAGCTTTGCAAGTGTAATACTGTGGAGTTTTTCAGTATTTACTACACTTGGTTTTAGTTTGCAAAACAAAGAGATTAGAGGCACTGCCAAATGTAGCAATGATTGGGAATGTAGTAGTGGTTTTTCCATTCAAATACAAAGCTAGTCTGGTTATCTGTCTCTCTTTTGGAGAACAAATTGATACACAAACTCCTGCTTTTCCTGATGTTTGGCAGCACTATGATGCCATAATGAGATACATCAGCCAGCCACCTCTTCTCCTTGATGTTCACATTCATAAACCAATGCTAAATGCTCGGACCTGGATGGATTCTCTGCTTGCTTTCTTCCCTGGATTGCAGGTGAGGTGTAAAACCCGTGTAGAGATGGTTTTAATAAGAAAGAAATTAGTAACTGGGTTTGGATGTATGATTTTCAAGTCAAGCATAGTAATTTGATTTTCAAAAATACTGAGGGAACATCCCTGGAGGTGTCCAAGGCCAGGCTGGACAGGGCTTGGAGCAGCCTGGGACAGTGGAAGGTCTCCCTGCCCATGGAATGGGATGGCACTGGTCCCTAAACCTAAACCATTCTGATTCCATGATTTCTGTACTTAATCTTCCAGTCACTTCAATGCTATGATGCAGGTTCATGTGCTTTTCTGGCTGTGTTGAGTGTCAGGACAAGTGTGTTCCTGTAATTTGCTTCCTTCACTCCTAGTCATGAAAATACTCCAATTAAGCTGCCTTTTTACTAGTAACTGATTTTCTACTTTGTGTGCCATTGACATCTTTAAGGTGAACTAAATGACATTTTCACTCCAGTTCTCTATAAATGTCAGATGTCCTTGTTCTACATGGGCAGTAATTTTAATGAGTTCACTGATTTTGCTTAAAAAGCTCTTAAGGAGCAGCTGTAACTTACACTGATAGGGATTAATAATTACAATATGTAGTGACTGCTCTGTAGCTTTACATGAACACACCATGAGTGTGTTTAACCTTGAGTATTATTCCTATGCTTGATGAATTAGTGTTACTTTTATTGTTTAATTTTAGGTGTTGAAGGGTGATATTAGACCTGCTATTGAAACACATGAGATGCTGTATCAGGTTATAAAAAAGCATAACTTTCTTCCAGAGGTAAGGTAGTAGTTTCTTCATATTTTTAAATCAAAAATTTGTATTTTTGATTGTGTAAACTGATTCTTACATCAATTTGAGCAGTTGCAGATGCCTGTGTGAAAAAACAGCAGGTATATATGTTATTAAAATCAGAGCCTCATTTCCACAGCATTCTTCTGTGAATTGCAGTTCTGCATGTCTGACAGCTGAGAGGATGTTCTGAAATTTTGTATAATGTCTTTGAAAGTCAGCACACAAACTTACTGCAGATGCTGCAAGTCTTTGAGCAAGCCCATTGTGCACAGAAAAGCTTGTTTACCTGCTGAAGTGTATGTCTTTAATCTGTGATGACTCAGATTATATTTGAAAGCTTCTGACTCCAGGTTTAATTTTGACTTTCCTCCAGTGTAAGCTTATTTCTGCTAGAGAACATTTTAATTAACATCACATTCACCTAGTGTGGTTATTGAGAGCAAAGAATGCTAAGCAGTGGAATGACTGTTTTTTTGAGGGCTTTTAAAATGGTGTCATTTGGCTCTTTTTGGGTTTTTTGCTTGGTTTTTTTTTGTGTTTTGTACTTATGAAGGAAACTTTAAAAGGTCAGGTAGTTGTATTTAAGCCAACAGACCATCCCCTAAGCAAAGACTTGGTTTAAACCTTATATGAAATAGTGAATATATGACAGAAGTGGCTTTTCCCAGTGCACATTAAGAGTGAATAGATAGACTAGGAAATTTTTACATATCTGACTTCTAGCCTGTGGTATTAATTTAGAAACAGCTGCTTCACCATCTGTCAGTGTGCTGTGACACTTGACTGCCCTGGAGGTGTCAGGTGGTAGGTACATTTGCAAAAATGGTGTTTCTCAAAGCTAGGCTGGTTATACAGTTAACATTGAATTCAATAGAATAGAATTCATAGAATTTGGTTTGCATTCCTGCATTTATTTTATTTTTGTCTGTTCCTTTTCATCTTCAGGCATTCACAACAGACTTCAGAGTTCACTGGGCTCAGCATCCTCTGAGGCCTGAATTTGCTGAAAGCACCTACTTCTTGTATAAGGTACAGTCACATTCACTCCTCTGACCTTTGAGCACTTTTTCTTGCACCTAGAGTTTTGTTGCTGTTTTATTTCAATACAGAATTGAGTAGCACATCTCCAGCTTAACTTATCCACTGGAGCCAGTTTAGGATATAAACAAGATGTAATGGTTATAAAAAAATTTTTTCTTTTATTTCATAGGCTACAGGAGACCCTTACTACCTAGAAGTAGGAAAAACCCTCATTGAAAACTTGAACAAGTATGCCAGAGTTCCCTGTGGGTTTGCTGCCATGAAGGATGTTCGTACAGGAAGTCATGAAGACAGGTAAAGCTTGCACAATTATTTTTTTAAATATAAAAACACAGGAAAAAAATCATATTTCCCTGTGTAATTGAATTAAGATATGAGGAGCTGTCTGTCTTCAGTCTGGTAATAAAGCCTTAAATACCTGTTTGTAATTGTATTGAACTGTAAGTGCATTGAAACAGTCTGTGCACTGTTTCAGTAGGGTTACAGGGTGCTCTAGAAGAATATTTTCAGTTTAATACCCTTTCATTTGTCTGAGAGCAATAGATGAATTACATTCAAGCTAAATATACTTCAAATCTGTAAGTTTGTCAGGTGGTTTATTTGTTTTTTCTGTAATGCTGTTTTGTACTGAATGTGCTGAATCATTTCCCTCCAAACACAGCTTCTTCCACAACAGAAGGAATGCTAAGGGAATTATGTCCAGCAGTAATAGTCATGAAGTCTTCAGAGATGGAGAACTAGGAATATTTATTTTACTGATGTTCTAGAAATGAGATCTCCCTAAAGGACATCCCCTTTTTCTCCACAGGATGGACTCATTCTTCCTGGCTGAGATGTTTAAATATCTGTACCTTCTCTTTGCTGATAAGGAGGACATGATTTTTGACATTGAAGATTATATCTTCACTACAGAAGCTCATCTGTTGCCACTCTGGCTCTCCACTACAAACCAAACCATCTCTAAAAAAAATACAGTATGTAACAGCTCCAGTCCAAATCAGTTTCTGTGGTACACTTCCCTTTTTTGAGGAGAAATGGAAATAACATCAGGAAAGATCATAGTTTGAGGAAGTGCACCAGTTTGAACACGTTGTTTAATAGGCACTATTTCATATTAACAGTGCAGTCACAAGAGTGGGAATAATGACTGGATTCTGCACTGCTGAACCTTGAGATAAAAGACAGGAATTATTAGCAAGAGTCTAAAAGAAAATCATTCCTCACTTCTGTATAAATTGGAAGATAATACAGTAGGATATGTTATCCCCATCTTTATTTTTTGTTATTTTTTTTAAACCTAAGGTTTTCTTTGTTTCTTGTGAACAAATTGAGAGGTTTTTTGAGACAGCTGTGGAGTTAATTTGACAAGGTACAGCTGCAGACAGATTAGGGATGTTTAATCACTTTAGTCCATGCAGTAGGCACCTATTGCATAAATATGAGAACAGTTGTGGGTTTATAAATTACTTAACCTTCCAGAATAACCTGGAGTGATACAGCTGTGCCATGAAGCATCATAAATCCTCACTTTTTTTTTTTTTTACTTAGTGGTCAACAAAGTGACATAATTTGTCTGTAAGGCAATAAGAAAAAGGAAGAAGAGAAAGAGAAAATTATGTCTGGGACATCAAGGATAGAAATTCCCTTATTTGTGCCTCTATTTTTAACATTTTCTAAGAGTTTTAGAATAATGCCTGGATCAGAGGAAAAGGCTTATATTGTGTGTCAAACCATATATCCTGGAAAAATAACTGATGGACTTTAGCATTAAGCAGTGACAGATTTTTAGTTATTTCATCTTAATGTCAAACACTGGTTATGTTTTAATGGGTCATGGGTTTGGTGTTAAATGTTCCTTCAGGGTGGAAATCCCACATCCTCTCTGAAATGTTCCTTCCCTGAGGATTTATCTTTCTTCTTTGAATTTTGGAAAGAGGCTGTTTTCTGAATTAAGCAAGAAGGGTCTGAAGGAGCATGTTTTGTAACTTTTTCCCCCAATATAAGAATTTAATACCTTTGAGAAAGGCAGGGTTCCCACAGCTGTTGCTGTTTTAAGTGCTGGCCTAACTTGTTTTGTCCTATTGAGAACTGCAAATGGTAATGAAAAGCCAGTAGAGAGGATAGAATAAATTGTTCAAATGCAGTTTTTTAAGCTCTTTGAGTCAAAGCTGTAAATGGGCATAATCCAAGTAAGAAAAGCCCACTGAAAATGGTTTCAGGTGGCTGAAAGGCTGTGACGTCGGGTGTTCCTCTTTTATGGAATTTTATCTCAACAGATGGAATGTGCAAATGATTTTTAACATAAATACAGTGCTATTAAAACAAACTGTGAGAGGGATACTTGGTACTATCAACCCAACATCCTGTTTGTATTTGCTCTCATAAACAAGAAAGGTCATGTCTTAGTAACAGCCCTTTAGGTCCTGGGTTTTAGGGAGCCTTTAAATACTTGATTTTTCATTGGCCAGTGTGTTGCAGACAGGAGGGGTGAGTCTTCTCAGGGGTGGATAAATACTGCATTAATTTTTATGGGTTATGAAATGAGCTTACCAGTTATCTATAGCCAGTTATTTGCTAAGCTAAGGACATGCTAAATGTGGCTCCAAACCACCAGACATGTTCCACATGGTTTCACATGTTACAAACCAGCAATTTGTGCAGATGTTCACTCTGCCATCTTTCCTGAAAATAGAAATTGTTTGAATTATATAGAGATTAAACCTTGCTCATCCAGACTTGCAAGTCTTTGTGGCTCCTGAGGAGGAGAATCTTTTGTTCACATGAAAAGATGTGACATTTTTAGTAAGAATGACCTAAAGCCTGCAGCTTTAAAGCCAATGTCAGATGAAACCAGAACTACTCCCTTTACTTGTCCAGCACATAAAATACAGGGCACTGGCTTTGTCATGAGCAGGCTTGAGAAGTACTGTCTACCAGCAGAGGATTAGCTGTTTCTGGAAAAAAAATCTAGAAACTATATATGAATTTAGTAAATTACAAATTAGAATGAGTGTTGTATTCATCTGTTCCAGGGGTTGCAGTGCATTGGCTCCCCACTATTGCACTCAGCCAGGTGACTTAAATTAGGATTATCTGTTGATGTTCTTTATGTAAAAACATAACCTGCATTTTTTTTACTCTGTATCTTTGATTTTAGAGCACAGAGTACACAGAGCTGGACGACAGCAACTTTGACTGGACCTGTCCAAACACCCAGATCCTCTTCCCAAATGACCCCATGTTTGCCCAGAGCATCCGCGAGCCGCTGAAGAACGTGGTGGATAAGAGCTGTCCCCGGGGCATTTCCAGAGCGTAAGATGGGTGTTTCCTCTCTCTTAGCACTGCACTGAGTGGAACAGGGTCTGCTCTGCAGGCAAGGAGAGGCATGAGGTGTGCTGGAGCTGGCAGTCCTTCTGGGATGAGCCAAAGGGATGATTCCTGCTCACGGGAAAAATCGCTTTGGATTTCTCTCGCATCCTCAGCAAAACTTAGTTTGTTTCCAGGTGGAATTAACAAGTCTTTCAAAGCAAAAGGAGCTGAATGAACTGCATATCTTGGCTGCAGCTCCCACTTGGAGTATTGCAGGAAATGTGTCTCTCTGATTTGTAATATCATTTCTGCAGTCTCCTAAAAAATTCTGAAAATCTTCTTTGTAGTAAGGAAATTATGCTGCCACACATAACTGCACCCGTTTTGAGGAATTTAGGGCAGTGTTAAGGCTGAGGAAGTTTGTCCTCCTGACCACCTCTTCTATATTTGTACTTAATGAATAAAACTCAGTATGGGGCAAACTGGGTTTGATCAGTGTTGCAATAATGTAGATTATATACAAGTGAGAGTATATAGCAGTTTTGTTACCAATACTTGGGAGGGAGGTTTTGCACTATAAAATTATTGCTCATATAGACAACTTTATAAAAAAGGTAACTTGATTGAGAAGTTGCATTCCACTGAAGCTTGCACTCAGTGTACCAAGAATTCCAATCTTGTGATGACAGGGATAGCACTTGAGTCCTGTTTCAAGGATAATCTGATTTTTAAAGCTTTGATCTCTGATGTCTTTTGGCAGAGAAGAGAGTTTAGGAAGTGGACCAAAACCACCGTTGAGAGCCAGAGACTTCATGGCCAGTAATCCTGAGCACCTGGAGATCCTGAAGAAGATGGGAGTCAGCTTGATCCATCTGAAAGATGGACGAGTACAACTAGTGCAGCACGCAGTGCAAGTAAGACAAGCTGGCAGGATTTTATTTTTTAGAGCTCTCAGCAAAGTCCTCTTAGCAATGATACTTGACACCTGGAGCTTCAGGAGGGACAGCCACCCTGTGGAAGGAGGCACATGGATAGCTGGGTATTGTAGCTATATTAGCAGGCTGATGCTTGTTAATATTTTGCCTCAGCAACACTTTTAACTAATATTCCACTAAATTAGGTAGAGGCTGCTCAGGTTGAAGTGATGGAGCCAACAGCATCTTGGCTGAAAACACTGCTTTCAGTGTGAGATACTTCCATCTCTTTATGAAGTCTATATATTGGTATATTTTCCATTTCCTGGGTGGTGCAGGTGCTAAATCTTTTGTGAAACGATGCTTGAGTGGAAGTGAGCATCCACCCTGTGTGTCAAAGTCTTTGTAGCAGTGGTCCAAGCAAACACAACTTGAGTTTCTTTTCCCCCAAATCCCTCAAACATTTAAGATAAAATTGTTTATTGATTCTTTCCTCTGCAGGCAGCAAGTTCCCTGGATGCAGAGGATGGCTTACGGTTCATGCAGGAAATGATTGAACTCTCCAGCCAGCAGCAGAAGGAGCAGCAGCTCCCTCCTCGTGCTGTCCAGATTGTTTCCCATCCCTTCTTTGGCAGGGTGGTCTTGACTGCTGGGCCAGCACAGTTTGGGATGGACTTGTCCAAACACAAAGCAGGGGTATGTGAGATGTGGGTGTGTCTGTTCCTTTCCCTGTTGCACAAGCCTCATCTTTACAGTGCTGCTGTTGTTTGAGGGCATCCAGCTGATCCTCCAGGTGATCAGTTAATTACAGTGCTTAAAATGACAGGGCCCAGTGGTGACAGTGACAGCAGTTACAGTATGGGGTGAGTGCCTTATCTGTCTGTGCTCTGCTCCTGAGTCATCAGCCATGGTTTGGGATTTAAAACACATGCACAGCATGAGTTGCAAAGCAAGCTTATCCAGTCTGCAGTGCACAGCTAAGGAGATGGTGATTTAGGGGAAGTTTCCCTCCCCTGTCAGCCAGGAGCTGGCAGAAGCTTTTTAGAGTTAGAGCAAGTTGTTCTAATGAAAGCTTTTCTAGAATGTAGATGGAAGAGGGCAGTCCACAGAGGCAGGGTCCCTATGGGAAGCAGTAGGAAAACCCATGTTGCAGCCCCAAAGAGGAGTTCCATACTAGCAGTTCACAGGAGAAAAATTTCCAAAGACAGCACTTCCTGGGTGTAGACAATTCACACTGATTATGAGAATTAATTTTTCATTCAGTCATTCTGTGCTTCTTAGAGCTCCAGTTTCAGGGCACAGATTGTCTGCACTGACACAAGACAACACTAAATGCAGTAGAATGGCAGAAGGAACAAAAATACTTGGGAATCTTCCACAAGCATGACCATAATGCTCTAATTCTCTCTTTGTTTTTGTTTTTTCCAAACAGACAAGAGGATTCGTTGCAACCATTAAGCCATATAATGGATGCTCAGAGATCACTAATCCTGAAGCAGTGAAAGAGAAAATTGCTTTGATGCAAAGAGGCCAGTGCATGTTTGCTGAAAAGGCACGAAACATTCAGAAAGCTGGAGCAATAGGAGGCATTGTCATTGGTAAATACAGTTCCAAGTTCTTAATTTGTGGAAATGTAACCTAATTTTACAGATTTGAAGATCCAGGGAAGCTGACAAGCTTTAAGCTGAGAAGCACAGCAATTGTGCTTTCAGAAGATGAAGAGATGTTTGGGGTTTGTCTTGTTCTGTGCAGACACAGATTGGGATGAGAGGTTGTCAGTGTTTTTGCAGACTAAAAGTTGTTACTTTAAGGATTGCATGGTGCTGTCAGTATTAACTGCTGAGGAAGAATGGGGATAGAAATGAAAAGTGGAGGAAAACACACCAGGCTGGGGTTTGCTGTGAAGTGACTGGGCAGGGGAGGCTGTTCCATGTTCAACTGATCTAACAGGAACTTTGCCCTTCCCTGGTGTTCTCTGCCTAGATGACAACGAGGGCAGCAGTAGTGACACAGCCCCTCTCTTCCAAATGGCTGGGGATGGCAAGAACACAGATGACATCACCATTCCCATGCTCTTCCTCTTCAACAAGGAAGGGAACATCATCCTGGATGCCATCCGGGAGTATGAGGCTGTGGAGGTGCTCCTTTCTGATAAAGCCAAAGACAGAGGTAAGGTTAGAGGTGATTTATGTAAATCTAGCTCCACTGTGTGCTGTGGCACAGTGGAAAATGGACAGGAATGATTTGCACTGCAGCCCAGAGGTGCTGTGGTTTTCTGTTTGACACTGGAATTAGTTTTTTTATTAAGCAAGCCATTTTCTGAGAGATATCCTTGATATCCACTCCCCCAATGAGGTAACATCCAGAAATGCTGTTCCTAAATGTCACTTTGGCTTATGAGAAAATCCAGCCTTTTGGATTCCTTTTGAACCCTTTTTGTCATCAGCTGCTTTGAAGTAGCATCAGGAACAGCATGTTTCCATGCCCTACATTGTGAGCATCTCTCCCTCAGCAAGATCCCCAGTGACATTCCTGGGACCCAAAAGGAGAGAGACAAGTGCTAGAACTATTTTGCCTATCTCAGGAGAAGTGGTTAACATGAGAAATAAGGCTGCTGACCTCAGATGTTTCGTGGCTGTTCTTGTATAATGCGAGAAAATTGCAAGCTAATACATTCCCAGTGGAAATGCTTGAATGCAGCAGAAAATTCCAGATTTTCCTTTTGTAAGCCTTCCTTGTAGCACTGCTGTGTCCAAGCAGAGTAGGTAAGAACAAGTATCTAGAAAATCAGCCTATTTGCAAAGGGGATATGCCAAAATATTGCCTTGTTTCTTCCTAACTTACAAATCCCTCCTGTTTATAACTGTGCTAAGTGCTCTGACAAAATGCTAAATACAGGGTAGCTCTGCCTTTGAGAGTTTGTAATCCATATCTGCTTCTTCCCCCTCCTTGTGCTTCCGTTTGGAATCCCAGCAACAATCTTTAAAGGTAAAATGATTCCAAACTACATTATTGATAGCAGTAAGTATCCCATGTCAACAGTGGCATGTGCAGTTAAATTCCCTAAAAATCCTGAAATATCAGTGTCATGTTTAGAGCCATAAACATCAAACCCAGAGAAATCTGCATGACTAAATTGGGCAGCTGTTGGGAGCTAAGCTGGGACGTGGGAGACGTGTGTTACTTGCTTTGAGCGGGGAGGCTCTGCCTTTGGCTCTCTCAAATGCACAGTTCAGTAAACTTAGGAAACTCTGTCCAGCTCCCAAGTGCTCAGATGTGGGATCCTGGTGGATCTGGGAGTGCTGTAAAATCCAGCATTAAAGTTCAGTGCACGCAGTGGATATTTGCTTAAGGCTGAAGGAGGGTAACTGGCACTGACCCACAAGTCACTCCTGAAGTTTGAGGAATCAAAAAGAGCCTCAATGCTCTGTTTGCCCTCATTTAAAATGTGTTTAAAAGGCTTCCCTCCTATCCCTCTGTAAAATATATTCATCAGTACTATTAAATTTTCATATCACTGGGAAGTCTGCTCTTCCTTGAAGAAATAAGGCCAAGGGACGTGACCTTGATTTTGAAATACATAATAAAATGTTGCATTCCTACGGTTGTTTTAGGTTTTCTTTTTCTTTTTTCTTTCCCTTTCAAAGACTTGGAAATGGAGAATATGGACCAGAAATCATCTGAAAGTGATTCACACAAACCAAATTCCGAGGAGGCTCCTTCAGAACCTCAGGATGCTGGAGCAGGCAGTGAGGAGCCTGAAGGAGGAGGAGAGAGCTCTGCAGTTGGTGACCCTGACCCCTTGTCTCCTGCCAGCACAGCCAGTGTTTCCATGGCAGATGAGGATCCCCACGCCTCTGGAGCTGCAGAGGCCAGTGCTCCAGAGCCAGCATGCACACCAGGGCACAGCCAGCCTCAGGAACAAAACACCCAGACAGAGGCCAGTTCCAAAGCTCACTGGGATAGTAAAGTCCAGCCTATGGAATCCATATTAGCAGACTGGAATGAAGATATAGAAGCATTTGAAATGATGGAAAAGGATGAGCTATGACTTGTAATAATAACTTATTTGTTAATAAACAAATGGAGACCTCTTTGGGTAGAAGTGAGGCCCTGATATCCAAGAAAACATATTCAGTATTGGGATGAGCAACCAGGTGTCACCTGGAAAACAACACAGAATTCCAGCACAGGCTCTTTGTATGTTTTAATTTTTCCTGTTTAAAAATGGGAACGTGCAATCAAAGCATTTGGGTGGCCCCGTGGCTGGTGCTGTGCCCCAGGCAGGGAGGAGCCTGCCTCCTGGGGCTCTGGGAAGCAGGTGAGCAGGGTGGGGTGACAGGCCATGGAATGGTTCTTGATGGGGCACCCCTACTCCTCCCCAGCTGAAAGCCTTCCTTACAGCAGCAGGGGAATTGTTTCCAGGTGTTTGCACAGCTGGAAGCAGCCTGGTTTTGTCTGACATATCACAGTGCTGCTCATCTCTCCTTGCACCCCTTTCCACAAGGGGACGTGGGAGTTCCCCTCCTGCTCTGCTTGCAGCTGGAGGAGTTGTACAAACCAAAGGCAGAGTGTGAGCAGGTCCTGCTGGAGGCTGGGCCAGCCGTGGGGCACTGGGAAAAGGTGTGGGAAGGTCCTGCTGGAGGCTGAGGGGAAGGCAGGTGTTGAGTCCCAGGTGTTCCCCTTGGCCTCCCAGGTGGAAAACCTCCAGTCTGCCCCAAAATCTGAAACAGTCTCTGAAAGGACACAGCTCCATTAGCTGTAACAAAACCTTTTTCTACAAGTTTGACTTCCAGCAGCTTGACTCCTCGTTCTTTTTATATACAACTTGTGGATGTGGTGTTTCAGGCAGGGAGGAAGAGCAACAATTCTGGCTGTTGGGTCAATAGTTCAGAGACCAGGGGTGTTACCCCAGGCTCTGGAGTTTGTTACAGGTAAGTGGGAGTTCAAATTTGTTATCCACATTATATTTAAGTAAAAATGGGGAAGTTTAAACAACATAGAGGCATTTTGACTGTGGCCAAAGAAACTGCCAAAACCTAAATAACTTGATTTATATAAACTGCTTTTAGTGACTTGTGGTTCAAAAAATGGTTTTATATTAAAGATGAAATGAACACTGCCTATATGCTGCACCAGGCTAAAAATGCAGGTTTATGTTCATCATTGCAATGGAGTAAATAAACAGGAAGCCCCACTCTGGACTGCACCTTTGATTTAGCTGGTGAAATTACACATGCTGAATATGCAACTGTTAATTAGCACAGCCATACTCTGTATTTATACTCTGTACAGTGAGCAGGGCAATCCCAGGCATGTTGGATCCATGTACTCAGCCACACTTGCTTTCAAAAGTCTCAGAATGCACTGGCACCTTTTGAGAGCATGGCAGTCCATCTAAATATCATCCAGAACTTTAAATCACCAGGGTAGGAGGGAATTCGAGGAGGAACAGTGAATAAGTGTCCTTTGAAAGAAATTAGCTCTTAAATGGAGTTGTCATTCCTTTGCACAAGTAACTGTCTGGAGGGTTGAAGCAGCTGGGGGTTTTCAGTTGGGAATGGTTTTATTTATGGTTTTGTTACATGAGTTCATAGAAGGCATTTGACCAGGGGAGCCTTGTGAGTGTCCTTGGTTCCTTGGAGAGCCAGGACACAGCCAAGTGGAGCATCAAACCATGAGGTGCAGATCAAACCTTTTCACTCAGAGAATTCTGTTGATCTGCCAGTGCTCAGTGCCACAAAAGGAGCATCTTTGTTCCCATGCTTTTGGACATGGACATCATCTTCCTTCTTGGTAGCTCTTTTGGTGGAAATAGAGTTATTTTTATATCCTAGAGGCCTCTGGTCATTATTATCTCAAAATAGCAGGTTTTCTTTTTTTTTTTTTTTACTTGCAGATTTAGGTGTAGATGTCAAATTTTATTAAAAGGTTAACTTTCCTTGCCATCACTCATCAGCTCATTTTTAGGAACTGCTTTCTCCACCTGTTATTAGAGCAGAGGCATTACCTTTCAGGGATCCCAGATTTAGGGATTTTAGGAACTGCTTTCTCCACCTGTTATTAGAGCAGAGGCATTACCTTTCAGGGATCCCAGAACTCCATATGGATTTAGGGGGCAGCATTTTGGTGGTGGCCTACCTCAGATTACTGTTGCCTCCTTCCTTTTGAAGTGGTTTTTGTTTCATTTAGTTGTGCTTCACCTTTGAAACCATCACAAGAGCCATAGCTTCGTTTACAGAACTGAATCAGGCAAGGTTGACCTTTTGGGAAAGAGGATTAAATTGGGGGGACAGTTTTATTCAGGTTATTTTCACTTTGTATTTCCTTAAGAGGACATAGGCTTTAGTTTAACCTGTTCATATCACTCTGGAAATAATTCAGTTTTCTGTTGCTATCATCTTCAAAAGCAAAAAGAATGTATTCATCAAAAAGAAAAGCCCTTTTGGAAAGGGCAGAGAGTGTTCTTCCCAAGTGTTTGGAAGTCTGCTCCCTGCATATGGAATATTGCTCATCATTAATCAGGAATCACCCTTAGAGTATAGCATTGTGCATTTCTTTGTATGGTATTGAACACTGAGGAATTCAGGAATCACAGCTGCAAGTAGCACTTATTCCATGCCATGTAAGTCAGATCAGCCAATTAATTTCTCATTTGATCTTAGAGGAATCTTTTAATTGTTTACATTTATTGTTTCTTAATGAAGTTTGAGAATGAGCCCAGCTCTGGTTCTCCTCCTCCTGCCAGTGTCCCTGAGTAGGCACCAATGAGTGTGTGTTGAGAGGTGAAAAACAGGACATCTTATGCAACAGGCTTCAGTCAGAACATAGAAAACAAACCATTCTGTGAATGAAAATTGTATGTTCAGATTTTATAAGATTTTTGGTTTGGTTTTTTTTTCTTTTTTTAGCCAGACCAATTTACAGCCGTATATTTTCTTATGGAAGATGTCTAATAACAGGTGCTGTAACACTATTGTTGGGTTTTACTCTCTGGTGATAAATGTACCCAATATTTCTAAGGGCAACTATGTACTGTGATGTAAAAGTCTGGGCTAAAATGTACATAATCCGTGTACATAATTGTGTACTTGATTATAACTGCTGATTGTAAAGATTTAATAAAATGTAAATATTCTGGTCAGGCTGTGCTCATTTCTGCGTTGCTGTTGGCTGTGACTTTCAGCAAAGCAGTCACACCAGTCCTTCACTGGCAGCCTCGGTGCTGGAGCCACCCTGGGAAAGCCTGGAATTTTTCCCTGGGAAAGAGGTATTGTAATAACCAAAACACCACTTTTCAGTCTAGAAATGAAACTGGACAGGCTCTCAGCAACCAGATCTAATGAGACTATTTCAACCTCTCTTCTCTGACTTGGGCATTAGTGTTTTATGCTTAGAATCCAGACCCTCAGAAGTTCATTTTGACTTCTGTTATCTTTATGACTATTTCAACCTCTCTTCTCTGACTTGGGCATTAGTGTTTTATGCTTAAAATCCAGAATCCAGACCCTCAAAAGTTCATTTTGACTGCTGCATCTGTTATATTTAGAATGAAAAAACCAGGTCTCCCTTGGGCCTGATGAGGTGAGTCTTTGAGGGGTGTATCCCTCATCCATCCTCTGTTATGAGCATTCCTCCACCACCTCTACTCCTGGAAATTTTTCCTCTCTGGAAGTTAGCATTAAGAAAATTAGGATTAAGATGCAGGAGCCCTAAAACTTCAAGCCCTTGTTCAGGTGCTGAGCAGTGTTCATGATGTGAAGTAGAAATCATTGCCAGCCTTGCTAGGGCAGTGCTAAATTCCTTCAGCCTACTGTTTCTGTGTTCTGGGAACAGCAGGGCTTAGGGGCTGGAGTATCTTGGAGCAAAGTCCCTTTCTCCCCCTTCAAGAAACAAGGGACCCCAAGTCCTGACCCCTCCTATTAAGACTATATTCATTAATTTATGCCAGTGGTTGTATTGAGGGTCTGTAGCTCAACTGTCACATTCCATCTTCCACGCAGGTCCCCCAAAGGTGTGACACCCTTCACCCAAAGCACTTGAGCTGCTCTGACCAAACCTGAGCCACAGCTGCTGCTCATCCCATCAGTCACACTGCCTCAAGGCTGCTGTGGCAGCAGTTCCCTTTTCTCCCCAAGTGCTGCATGCAAAGGTAATGTTAATAAACATTTCCAGCTGGAAGGGAGCCTGTAAAACACTGCAAAAGTTCACCCAGGCTATTAATGCCCAGCACTGGCAAATTCGTCTTTCTGAATGCTTTGGTGGAGAGCACAGTGATGGGCTGGGGCTCCTGCAGAGGAATTTTAGCCAGAATTGTGCCAAAAAGCCTGAGTGGTACCCAGAGGTGTTTTTGGGGAGCAGTGGGGCCACCCTGGGATGTCTTGGATGCCCCACTGGCTGCCACTCCAGGACAGACCTGATGGCAGCAGTGCAGGGCAGAGAATGAGAAGCAATCCAGAAAAGCAGACTGATCCTTACAAAGCCCAGCCCAAACCCTGCCCCAGCGTTTCTCTGCCCTTTGCCTGGGGTTGCCATCAGTCAGGAACACGGGGCTGGGGAGGAGCTGGCAGATTTTGGGCACAGGGGACACTCGGGGGTTCAGGGAGGGACACGGAGCAGCAACGTGGGTGAGGAAAAGGATGAGCTGGTGATGCTGAATTTGATGCATTTCAAGATTTCCCTATGGACCTCCTAGCAGGCAGGTTGATGGTTTGAGACGTGCTTGAGGCTCCTCTCTGCAGCAAAAGCCATTTCCTCTTCATCCTCTGGCCCAGTGCTCCTCATGATTGAAGAAAATGAGCAAAAAAGGCTTAAAAAGGCCTAAAAAGGGGAAGAAATCTGGGGAAAAGAGGCTCAGGTGAGGACAGAAGAGGCATCTCCACCCCGTGCTGGCTCTCTGGCTCTTTTATGTAATGGAGCACGTGGCTCTCCACGTTCCTTGTGGGGCTGGACACGGGTTCTCTGGCTGCCAGGCTGGAGCATCTCCCTCAAATGATGTCAATCTTCACTGCACTGGCATTACAGCATCATAAAAAATTACAGAGCTGCTATTTTGGGTAGCAGCTCTCTCCGAGTCAGTGAATAAATGCAGCTCCATATGACTCACTCCGGGGGATTATTAATAGACACAAAAGCAGAATGCCAAAACCCCAGGAATATGCTCTGTTCCCACATGGAGCTTTCTAGCTTCTCGCAGCAACCGCTCTTGAGAACTTTTTGTCTCAAAATTTAATTCAATATACAGATAAATTAAAAGAATTAAATGTATAAATGTTCCACTGAGCTCACACCTCGAAGGCTTTAGCAGGGGCTGCTCTGCAGGGATGAAGGGTGGCTGCTCCAGGGTGCCAGGCTCCATCTGGGATGGCAGAGCAGCAGGGAGGAGAAAGGGAGTCATTTCAAGAGGGAAGAATTCACAGGCTTCTCCTTTTGCTGCCATGGGTGTCCCTGAGGCTGGTGTTGGAGTTGGCTTCTGTGAAGAAGGTTCACAGTCTCACAGTTGATGATGAAGATGATGATCCTGAGGATGATGGTGGCGACTCTCCCATCTTCAAAGTGAGCATTTCCCTGGATGTCATGGGTAGATGTGTGCAGCTAAATTGAAAGAAAATAATATGATTTATTTTTATAAAGACATGAACATCTTTGAGTTCCATCAACTTTTCCATCTTGAAGTACCCTGAGCTTGGGGCCTCTTTCCCTTTGCCACAACAGCACAGTAACAATAAGGAATTTCATTCAGGGCTTACCCAACTTTTTGGATGTCTGATCTCCCCAGCAACAAAGCAAAGAAGGTGCCCTTCCAAAGACATCCCTGCATTTCTTGTCTCCTCTTCCCCGAACTCCTACAGAATGAAACTGAACACAGAGAGATTTCAGCCTGAAAAAGGAGAATTGCCCACCAGTACCAGGACCCAAAGCAGGGTCTGGTAGTGTTCAGTTCTCCCAAAAGCATCTTCCCCAAAGCCACATTGGCAGAAGTGCCATAAATCTGTGCTTTCTCAGTGAATACCCTAAATATTGCCTGTACCACACAGTGATCTTGGGTGAGATCAAAGCTTTTGATTTTCCAGAGTGCAAATGCCTTTACTTCCCGCCTGGGCTGGGGCTGCCTCAGACAGGTAAATATTTCTTTAGCACAGGGATGTTGCTCAGACTCCCCAACACCCCACAAAGGACCTGAGTCAGGGCATTGGTTCTATGGAATCCCAGAATGGTTTGGTCTGGAAGGGACCTTTAAAATCATCTTGTTCCATGGGCAACCTGGAACAAGGTTCCCTCCTGCCATGGGCACCTTCCACTACTCCAGGTTGCTCCAAGCCCTTTCCAGCCTGGCCTTGGGCACTGCCAGGGATCCAGGGGCAGCCACAGCTTCTCTGGGCACCCTGTGCCAGTGTCCCACCCCCACGGTGGAACTGGAATCCACCCTTTTTGTGCAAAGCCCATCTGACATCTGCTCTTTGACAGACACACACCTCACCCAGCTCTCCCATCCTGAAGGTCTGGTGTGTCAGCCAGGCTGATCTGGAGTTGAGTCATTGCTGACTCCAAATGAAAGTGACAGGAAATTACTGTTTTACAGACCTGGTAAAGCCAAAATAGCTGGGAACAGAATATTTATCTCCAGGCCCATTCTCATGAGATGACAGCGATGTCTTCGGAGTTCAAACACATCTCCCTGGTGCTTCATGGACTCCTTTGCTCCAGATTCATCATCCAGAGTTTAAATCCTGCTGTACTCTGGGGCCAGTCACCAGCCTGGTGCTCTTACAAAATCTCTGGGGCTGTGGAAGCCCTGCTGCTCCTGCTGTTTACAGGGCATGGAGAGGTGCACTGAGCCAGCCTGGAGCTGTTGGCTCATCCGTGGCCCCAAAGGCTTGTGGCAGGGGGGGACACAGAGGTGGCTCTGCTGGATCCTGGCAGGGAGACCTAATTCAAAAGAACCAAACCCCTCACTGAATGCAAGGGAAGAAATCCATGTGAATTCTGGAAGGGGCTGGGAGGGGGCACAGAAGAAGTGGAACTCCCAGTAATTAAACAAGGAACACAACAGGGCCCAAGGCTGGGCCTGGGGTGGGCAGCAGCTCCCCAGTTCCCCTCCCAATGCAGACTCCAAGGAGGAAAACCAGCACCGCTCAAAGGGCTCTGGACAAAGGAGAAAGCACTTCAAGGGAAGAGAGTTGATTGCAAAACCTCTTCACCACAATTTTCTCCAAGATCCCAGAATACAATGAATGTGGAGCTCAGGAAATACTGCATCAGCCTCCTGAAGAGAAGCTTGGGGCTCACATCACTCCCCTGGCATTTTGAGAGGAACCTTGAAATCCCATTTACAGCCAAGCACAGCTTGCCAGATAGGAGCAAGTTCTCCTTCTCTTCCCAGCCTCCTCTTCTCCACACTGCTGGATGTATTTGAGCAGAGCAAAGCAATGGGGAGGTGGAGCTCCAAGGAGAGATGCATTTTCAGCCAGAGTAATCCCCTTGTATTATTACAGACCTTCAGCTGCCACGTATATTTAGACTTCTAACAAAATCTGCCAGGATTTTGCAAAGGTGGAAGGATCCCAGCAGGTTCCAAACCTCCTGGCCACCCTAGTGCCTCCCAGCCCACCCAGCCTTCCCAAAATTGCCACCTACAGGTCCAGCAGGGAGGCTTTAACTCATCCAGAAGGCTAAAGCAGCTGCTGCTGGCTGGAATACGAGCACAGGTAAGATGGGAATTGCTTCTCCTCTCCCACAAAACATCCCCTGAAGCGCCGGTCTCCAGTGCCACCAGCAGCAGCAAAGAAAATGTTCAATAAAAGAATTATTAAAACAAAGAGGTGAAAGAAAGACCATGATGTGTCTAACACCGTGTTTCTGTGGGACATTTACACACAAGATGTTCAGCAGCTGGACAAGGAAATGTTCCAAAGCAACAGACCCAGCCCCATCACTGCTGCCCTACTGGGAAAGCTTTCCAAAGGGCTTTGCAGAGAAGGGTTTGAGGGACCAAGCCCCAGGACTCTTTATTAATTAAGGTGTTTTAAATAATTGAAATGCACACTCTCTCGGCTCTCCCAAGCACAGTCACCTGCTCAAGAGGTGACTGTGCTTGGTCAGGTCCTTTCCATAAATTATGGGAAAAAATAATATCCAGGAGGAGAGAGACATCACCTTGAAGAATTCATCACAAAAACCAAAGGCACCATAGCACTGAGAGATGGCACAGCCCCAGGAACAGCCCTGGCCAGTGCAGCTGCTCAAATGAGCAAGGATTTAGGGAAATCAGAGCTGGCTGGTGGTTTTTGACCATTAATAGGGTACAGCTGAACATGCCATAGAGGACCCTGCCACTGAGCTTTTACAGAGGAAGCTCCTGGGCTGTCTGCATCCTGGAGCACAGCAACCACTGGGCTCAGACTGAGGCAGCCAGGGCCTGGGGAGCCTGCAGAGCTCAGGAATAGCTTCAGCCTTCAGGAAACAGGGTGATTTGCAGCCCCACAGCTGCTGCTGCTGGACGGGCTCACAGGAGCTTCAGCCTTCAGGAAACAGGGTGATTTGCAGCCCCACAGCTGCTGCTTGAAAGCTGCTGCTGCTGGACGGGCTCACAGCCAGCCCTTAGCAGCGACTGCCAGGTCTGTGCCCACTGCCATCCCCAAAAGCCAAGGGTAAATCCAGTGCAGGGATGGCAGCAGAGGGAGCTGGGGGTTCCTGGAGATATTCCAGGTACAGCACTGGAGATATTCCAGTACTGGTGGGAAATGAAATCTTCTGATGTGGACTGCCCAGCCCCACTCAGAGCCAACATTCAGGGAAACCTCTTTAGTCAAGAAATCCAGCAGTAACTTAGAGATTTGCAGAGGTCACAGGTGATCTTTGAGGGACCTAGATCCTTTAGAGGGATCTGATTTTCAGAAAGCCCAGGAAAAATGGCCAATATTCGGGCTGAGTGTCCCACTCAAGTGTCAGCCACATCCTAGGAGATGCTGTTAATGCACCCTCAGTCTGGTGCACACCCATCCCACAAATGAAATCAACACAGTGACAGCAAACTACACTGACAAAGCTCCTCCACTGGGTGCAGTGCAATCCCTGCCCCCATATGGCATCAAAGCTGGAAAAAATATCAGCACAGGTAACAATCTTCTTTGAAATAATAAATACAAAAGCTGTATTTTTTTCCTTTTCTTTTTTTTAACTCATGACAGCATTTGTTAAAAATATTACATCTGCTTTTGAGAAGGTAATATCCTCTCCATTTAATATGGAAAAATAAACTCTACAGAACACAGAACACATCCCCCCAGTTGGCACAGAGCTGCTTTAAGAGATCAGATCCACGGGACACATCAAGGCAGAGGAGAGGTTTGGTCTTCCTTGTCCCCAGACTCTTAAAACATCGTGTTGTAGGAATGGTAAAAGACAAGAATACATAAAAACAGTAAAATGTTTATTTTCTTAGAAAAAAAGAGATTCAAAATGATTGTGATCACACTCCCATTCGTGCTCAGCAAAGCCAATACTGCAAGCTTAGTCCTTGATTAAGATACCTGTTAAATGAAACCTTTTTCCTCTTAAAATACAAGTTCCTGCTCCTGTATCACTTCCAGTATTTCAGTGATAACATGCTTTTAATGGATAATAGTTTCTCAGCTTCTTCTCAGCTGAGAAACAAGGCCTGCCATGGCAAAAACATCCCATCTCCAAAGCTTGGAATCACCAGCACTAACAAGCACTCTGGCCCCACCACGGACGGACACACAGCTCAGGGGTGTTTCTTAGATGCTTGGATGTTCACTTATGGAAGCTTGGTATAACACTACCTCATCTGATAGAAAACAGGCCAGAAGCCTCAATAAAATCAACAATGTCTTTTGGATTAACTTTTAAGGATTTGCTGCGTATCTGGACACAGAAAAAAGTGAGAAGTTGCAACAAGTTTTAACTAGCAGCAACAAAAACAGTTCCTTACGAGTTCTTAGCAATATTCCTCATGTGTTCATTAGGAAACACTGTAACTGAATGGAGCATATAATGTGGAAATGGTCTTCTTCTGTTATGGAGTGCTGTTCACTCGAGCAGACGTCCCAAAGGTTGTATCCAGAAGGCTGGGTTGGATCTATTTACACTGGAGGTGCTCCTGGGGCGAGGGCAGGGCTGGCACTATGTGACATCCTCCTCCTCTGAACAGTAGTCACGACCCTGCAGGGACAAAGGCCAGGCAGTTGGTACTCAGAGAAGAACACAGGAATAAATCCAGGCAACACTTACTGAGAGCAGTTCTCTGAACCTGGGGGGTTTAAACTCACATCTAGTAGAAACCTCAGACACAGGGAATTTGCAGGAAACCAGGATAGGAGGCACTTCCCTTTCTGTCACTATTGATCTCATAAACATCATCCCCCATACAGTGAATTCCAGGGGGGGCTCCAACAAACTGATTTACAAACCAGCTTTATGTAAAGCTCCACCTTGATGGACACAGCCCTGAGATTTGTTGTGAAAGGATAATCTCCGAGGCAAAAGCAACAAAGCATGTAATCCTATGAGCAACACAAGGCAGCTGCTGTGAACAGGAATCCCTCATCTGATAACCCCAGCAGAAGTTTAACCCCAGAGCAAAAGATGCCATTTGTATTGAAATTATGCTTGTACTACAGGGGATTCAGCCTAAGCTCCACAAAACATGGATTTCTTTATCAGACCAGTCATGTTGTGCCTTCTATCCCATCCCAAACACAGGTGTGGAGCAGCATCTCTCTGGGTATTCCCCTTGGGATGGCCTGGAGAAGGCACATCCCATCCCTCCCCACCCAGCTCCGGCAGAGCAGCAAGGAAGGACCTGCTGGGAGCCACTGTCCTTGCTGCCCTGCTCCAAACCAGCTGCAGCTGAGCTCTTCAGCACAAACCACCAAGGGGATCTTGCATCAAACAAGTGCCTCAAATGCAGGACCCAAAACCTGCACCTCTGGACTATTTCCCATTGTTCTGAGTGCTGGCTGTACCAGCTGAGCACCTGGAGAAGGAGAGCCAGAAAGACACACAAAAAAAAGGGGGAGATGTTTTGTAGGAGTGATCAGTTGTTTTGGGACACACAGCTGGGCTGCACACCTGGAACAAAGGCTCCAAAATGTCTCTGCAGTCCCAGTGCTGATGGTGGGACTGCAGAGCTGGCTTTGCTAGAGCCCAGACCCAGGAATGTGCAGTGCCCTGACAACTCCCTGTGGCCAGCACTGAGAGCAGGAAGGGTTTCCTAAGTAAGTTAAAATATCCCCCAAGAGACTCATCAGCCCAAATTCCAACTCAGACCCTGAAACACTGACCCAGAAAGAAAGGGAAAAAATTACATTTTTTGAACTAAAAGCTGTAACTCAAAAAGAAGGAACACTGAAATTCTTTGCAGTGAAGCACAAATCTCTCAGTTTTTCTCCACATTTGGACAAATCCAGGAGACTGAGCTGGTGGTGACGAAGGCTTTGTCCAAAATGCTTCAGAGCTGTGAGAGGCAGCAGCAGTGACTGAGGGCTGAGCTCAGGGCATTACCAGCACACCCTTTACCTGCTCAAGAGGGAGCCCCATGGCCCAGCACTGGTGGGCATCACTGCTACCAAAGCCCCAAGCAGACCCAAATCTGACAGAAGAAAATCCATCCTGCACTTTTCCCCCTCCTACTCCTCCAGCTTCTGCATTTGCTCCCTGGCTGCCAAGTGCATCAGTTCTCAAATGGACACCAAGAACTGCTCCAAACCAACGTGCTGAGCCAGCCCTAGCCATGGCACAGCCACACCACCTCCCAGCAAGGCCTGAAGGCCACCAGGAGCTGGGCTGGTCCTTCCAGACACGTAATTTCCGTCTGCACTCTGCTGGGGACAGGGACACATCTGCTCCCTTCTGGTGGCCCAGCCAGCTCAGGTGATCCCAGGCTGCAGTGAGTCCCAGTGGTGCCCAACACAGCTTTGGTGTAAATGTTACACCCCAAATTTTTGTCAGTAACAAGGTCAGCATTGCTCAGGAAGGTCAGGGAAAGAATAAAGTGCCCTGCTGTCACAGCCTTCCCTGCTGCACCAGAAATCCAAGAGAAGGGGCTGCCACTCCCTGGTCGATAAGGAAAGGCAGCTACAGCCACAATCCAGCGAAATACTTTAAAATGTCCATTTCTGGCCTGTTGGTTGTTTCAGAGGATGTCTGCCAGATGCTGGAGGAGATGATCCCTTGATCAGTGAAAGGCTGCAGGGCTTGAGAGGGGCCTGGGAACACCTCCTGGGAAATGGTCAGCTCAGAGCTGGCAGAAACCACACTGCTCTAGTGGAAGTGTCCCTGCTCGCTGCAGGGCTTGGACCAGGTGGCCTTTAAAGGTCCCTCCAACCCAAACCACTCTCTGATTCTACAATTCCATGACTGGCAGTCAAATTCTGCCCAGGGGAGCAGGCTCCTGCATCCAGAGGAGGCAGAGGCACGGAGCAGGTGGCTCCTAACAGGAATGTATGGGCCACCCATGGACTAAGGAAGTTGTGGGTTCAATCTGCATGGGCCATTCATGTCAGAGCTGGACTCAATGGTTCTCGTGGGTCCCTTCCAATTCTGTGATTTCTGATAAGTTCTAATGATTGAAAGTGTAATGAACTATGTTGAGGAAGATGAGAACTGTACTATGTGCCTCCAAGTCCAGCTAATCCCTGAGGAATCCCATCTCCCACCTCTGCAGTTTCAAAACACAACTGTCAGCTTTTCTGGATGTCCACAGAACAGCATGAGCGTTTCCAAACGAGTGAATTTAAGCTAAATTAAAGAGCAGCCTGATGTTCTTTTCCTGCTGCCTGCACCCAAACCAGAAGGGCTCACCCCCCATCTCTCCCCTTGCAGCACCTCCAAAGTGCTCCCCTCCAGGGGATGCTCATGCTATCCTTTTAGGGAACAAAAAGAAAAAACTGGCAGGAAAAAGGCCTTTTCCCCATTGTGCGGGTGACAGGCCAATAAACAAGCTGGCTCAATGGCCCCTTGTGCCGGAGGACTGTGCCAGGCAGGGGAGGGACCAGGAGGAGGATGGAGGGGAGGCAGGGGAGGCAGAGGATGGAGAGAGAGGGCAGCAAGCAGCCCTCTGTGCTGTGGGCTGGCGGGGCTGGGGACACAGTGGCCCTCGGAGGGGCCCGGCTGGGCAGCCCCAGCCCCTTCCCATCAGGCTGCCTTTGTTCACAGCTCTCGGAAGGGACGGGAGGCGGCACCAAATCATTGCATGCTGCGCTGGTTTTTGTCCGCTCCTCATTTCGTTAGGGAAAAATCAATGGAGTCATTAAGAGCAATCCACTTTGCTAATGAGTTTCAGCCTAATCACGGTGCCACGGCGTTCCCAAGGGCACTCCCTGCATCCCATGAAGGAGCTGCTTTGTGCCCACCCCCTGCTGCCATGCCCGGCATTCCTAACGGGATGCAGGGAGCTGCTCCAGCCGTCCTTCCCACGGGCTGGCTGCTCTGCCCCCAGCTCCAGGTGAGGGGATGGTGGAGGAATCCCTGCACACCCACCCAGACCGAGCTGACCCGCAGTGACACCCCCATGGGGATGGCAGCACCGTGTCCCGGGCTCGGGGTTCCCATCAGGGCTCACAGCAACACTTCTTCTCCTTTTTAACCTCATTGTTGCCCAACAGTATGTTTGCATTGTGATTATTTTTTACAACCACTGTAGCCATGCAGGAGACAGTTTAAGGTGATGGGACCAGTGATGGCTTTCCTCTGGTATAGCTGCCCAGGGTTGTTTTGCCATGGTCCCTTTGGAACCACAAAGCCAGAGGTGCTTCCCCTGTGGGGGTACAATCCCCAGATATAATCCCAGGAATTGCTTGTCAATTGTTCCATTACCCCTCATCCTATTTCCTGCAGGGAGGCAGCTGCCTACACACTCTGCCACAGCCTCCAGTAATAACATTACACTTAAGGAGATAATTCCTCCAGACCATTGCACTGCTCCATGCAGGATTCAGAGACAGCAGTTGCTTTTCCAGCCATTTTCCAGGACAGCCATCATCAAGATGGTTTTGCTGGCAAGCACTAAATGGGTAAACTTTTCACACTCAGCACTTGGTATGTTATAGCTTTTAATTTTTATTTCTATTTATTTCATGCAAGCTCTGGTAGGACGGGGCCCCTTCAAGGCAATGGACTTGAGCTTGCAGGGCTGAGCCCAACTCTGCTCTGGGCCACTCTGTGCAATTCATGGAATCCCAGAAGGGTTTGGGTGGGAAGGGACCTTAAAGCTCATCCCATCCCACCCCCTGCCATGGGCAGGGACACCTTCCACTATCCCCGGCTGCTCCAAGCCCCATCCAGCCTGGCCTTGGGCACTTCCAGGGATCCAGGGCAGCCACAGCTTCTCTGGGCACCCTGTGCCAGGGCCTGCCCACCCTCACAGGGAACAATTCCTTCCCAGTATTTCATCCAACCCCACCCTCTGGCAGGGGAAAGCCATTCCCCCTTTTCAAATGGTGTCCAGGCCCTTGCCCCAAGTCCCTCTCCAGCAAAAGGTCTGTGTCCTTCCTGTCCTGCCACTCTTTTCAGGGAGTATTTGCATGGGTCCATTTATTTGGACCCTATGGAATCAGGGTCCAAATACATTTGAGATGTTGAAAGAATTAAAAAACAACCGAAGTCTGGAGAAACTTCAGGAGAGACAGGTTAATTCCTCATCGTGTGTTACACAGCAAATCTTTGTGTGTCCAAATGCAGCATCTGACTAAATCAGTCCTTGATCCATCAGATTGGAGAGAACCCAGGTCATTAATTTACTTGCCTGAATACCAACACAAATTACCTGATATCAGGACATGTTTCTATCTTCTTAATCAGAGCTGATAGCTCAAAATCAGATTTTTCCCACCACAGGAGTGCAGTGACTGTCCCAGACCCAGCTGCAGCCAGTGGAGCCCATTTCTCCTCTGCTGGGCACAGCAGAGCTCAGATTTATCCAGCAGCAGCAGAGATCCCTTTAGGAGGACTGTTCAGTCACTCCCTGCCTCCTTCTCTAGTCTCCAAAGCCATATTTCTGTGTATTTCTGCCTTCATCTCTCAGGTCAAGCAAATCACTTGTACTCCTGACCCACATCTTTCTAATTTACTCTGGGGAACGCTCTCCTCGAGCTTAATTGCTGCTATTACCTGTTGCTCATCCTCCACTGGAATATATTTCTGTGATTTCAGGCTAATTTTCAATGAATGATGATAATGCTGACAGCAGATGAGCTGCCTCCTTCCCAGTGCCTGTCTCTGTTCCATTTCCCCCTGAACTCTGGATCACAGGTGCTTTTTGTCTCCCAAAGCAAAGCCTGTGACTCTATTCCCAATAACCTCAGTGAGTGGGAAGCCCCAGGAGGACTCACTGCAGCTGCTGCCAGATGTTGGGAACATTTCTGAGCCTGCTCTGCCACCACTCAGGGCCTTGTGCTGCACCCAACTCCTTCTCTTCCCCTCTGCTCTCCTCTCCATGCTCTGCCACAGGTCAGAAAGTGTTTGGACAAGGCTTTTAGGCACGTGGTGGGATGCTTGGGGTTGTGCTGTGAGTTGGACTCCAGGGTCCCTGTGGGTCTCTGCCAGCTCAGGATGTTCTAACCACATAGTACAGTAACTACACTCCCTGTGCTGTCACTGCTCAGCTCCTCCAGCTCCCAGGCTCCCATCTAACCTCTGACTCTGGCTTCTCATCAGGTCTTGGGAGTATTTTTACCTCAAATTTTCATGTTTCTCAAAGGACTGGGCTGACTGCAGCAGAACCAGTACCTAAGCCCGTGCTGGAGGCTGACTTCCACATTCCCAGCCAGTCCTACCCCAGCCCTCACCCCAGTATTTCCTCCTCCCAGCAAACCCTTGAATGGCATTACCACCACCACAGGCAGCTCTGTACGTGCCAGTTCAGCTCCAGCTCCTGCAGCAGGGACAGACTCACTCAGAGACAGAGCAGATGTCCCCCTCACAGTGTTTTGACACTGAGTTTTGGTAGACAGAAGCTCCATGCTTCATGACATTCTGTTTTTTATCTTTGGGTGACATTTGCAGGAGGCAGTGGAGCTTTTCAGGGACAGCCAGGAATGCACTGCTGGGGGCAGGACTTCCAGAGAAACTCTCCAGACTGTTTCAATAAGGCTTTTTTTGATCTCCAGGACTCACAAACATTTCCTGCTTGCAGCTGACGAAACACCAGCCCGTGTTCTTTCCATTTCACACTCTGGCTGCAGGAGTTTTATGAGTTTTATTCCACAGAATGGCTGTGCCAGCTCCAAGCCCTCATGCAATGCTCCTGCCCAATGCTCACTTGTCAGAGCTGCTGTTGAGTACTTGTGTCCAGTCACATTTTCTGGAAAAATCCCTTTGCCCAGGAGCTTTCTCCTGGGAAGCTGAGAAGCCTCAGAGAAAAAGGAAAACAATATCTCAGTTGCTTCTCCTCTGTTTTGCTGCTTTGGAATGTGGTTGGATATTGTTTACCCACAGGTGGTTGTTTCATTGGTTTCATGTGAATTGTTTTGACTCTTTGGCCAATCAGGATCAAGCTGTGTTGGGACTCTGGAGAAAGTCATGAGTTTTTCTTTAGTATCTTTTAGCCTTCTGTCTGTTCCTTTCTGTATTCTTTAGTATAGTTTACTATTCTTTAATACAATATCATAAAATAATAATTAGCCTTCTGAGAACATGGGTCAGATTCATCATTCCTTCCTTCACTGGGAACCCTGCAAGTACACTGCACTTGGATTTGGTGACCCAGCAGCCCTGGGGATCCCAGTGGAGCTGAGGGGGTTCTGCTCCTGGCTGGAGTTTCTGCAGCACAGCACACAGAGTCTCCATCACCAATCCAACAGCCACAGTAACCATGGGAACACCACAAGGTTTGGGACCTCACCAGCCACAGGCAGCACCCCCCACACATCCACAGGCTTTTTCAGCTGCCACTGATACAATCCTTCTAAATGTCTGACTGCTGTCCCCCACCTCCCTGGAGAAGGGACTGAAAATGCTGTTTAAGGATCAGACAAAACCCCTTGTATTTTCCAATCTTTTTTAGCATTTGTGTCAACACCTAGGAAAAAAATGCGTTCTGAGCAAAGATGAATTAAAAACCGCAAAACTTCTCTAATGAAGACTGTTTCCCCAGGCACGGGAGGTCCCCAAGGAACACAAATCCTACATTCAGCTGCACATTAACTCCTGCCAATCCCATCAGCTGTCAGCAACTGGGTCTCTTTGACAGATAAACTGTGGATTTCCTCTGAACAGACAATCTCCTGATCCCCAAGATAAATTATCCCCAGGATAGATTAGCCCTGGAGATCACCTGGGAATATCTCAAAGGGGATTCAAGCACAGGAGGCAGGGTCAGCTGCACCTCAGCTGGGGAATGAGGGTGTTAGTGCCCTGCCACAGACCTCGGGAACAAAAATTAACCAAAATCCATAATTACATACAGCCTGATGGCATTGTCTGGTCTGCAGATAAGATACATCTTTGGAAAATCCATTTTAGTGGAGACTCTGTGCTCAACATTCTGGAAGGTGATGATGTCCAGGAAAAGCAATCAGAATATTCATAGGGTGAATGCATTTATTCAAAGGAGATATAGCTGTACTATGGATATGTAGAAATTCTACCTTTAAATGCATTAGGTTACATAAAATCTTACCCCTGTGAAACACTGGGTACATAAATATTCTTCTCAGGAATCTATGACTCCTCACTTTTACTATTCCCCTTTATGGCTTCTTTTGTTTTCATAATTTCTATTCTTTAAGAGGAAAGTAACAAATATATTGCTTGGGACAAATAGAAGATGCACCCACTGCAGCACTCTGACTCCTAGGAGCAGGAGTGCTGGCAAAAAAGGCAGAAGTCCAGAGCCATGCAAGTAAAAATCTCCCTTCTACTCTACAACCAACACGACAACTTAATGGAATAGAACAGAAAAGAACAGAAGAACAGACTAGACCAGGCTAGAAGTATTTCAGTAGGAGGGGACCTACAATCATCAACTGCCTGAGCACTTCAGGGCTGACCAGAAATTACAGCGTGTTGTTAGGGGCATTGTCCAAAAGTCTCCTGAACACTGACAGGCCTGGGGCATCCAGCAGCTCTCTGGGAAGCCTGTTCCAGTGTCTGACTTCCCTTTCCACAAAGGAATGCTTCCTCATACCCAGTCTGAAACTGGAAGTACAAATTAGCACTCAGTGTACTGCTGATTAGCAATCAGCACTCAGTACAAATGAGTTCCTCGGTGTACTGCTACTGAGGAAGCAAATATTTAATACAAAGTATTAAAAAAAGATGCATGACTCCCAAATAGGCAGTGTAAAGAATAAAGTGGTGTGTGAACATCAGCTCCCCCATCTCCCTCAGCCACTCCCAGGATGAGCTGTGCTCCAGCTCCTTCACTGCTGCCTCACAAAGAAGCCAAGCGTGTCATTTAAAAGCTTTCTGAAACACACAAAAGCTGCTCTCAGGACAGCTGAGATATGCAAAGAATTATTCATCCTCTCCTTCAAAACATCTCCAGCACCATTATTTCACTGGCACAGCCCTGGGGCAGGGTTACCCACACTTACAGCCACAACCAGTGGCTATTTTGAGAATATTCAGCAAGAATTCCTGAGGTATCCCAGCATGAACATTCCAGCTGTCTCCCAATGAGATGAAAGTTCAACTCAGCAATGACTAAAATCTCACTGTGCTCTTCCCATTTACCCAGCATGGACATCCTGAACATCTGAGTTAGCCTGCCATGAATCCCAGACTGGTGACATTCCCACAAAACAAACGATTCTCTCAGTACCTCCTGCAAGCTCTTCACCTTCCTGGTCTTCTTTGCACTTGAACTGTCTAACCAAGGAGCTGGAAGGGAAATCTTGGGCCAGACCCCTCCAAATCATGGAGAACAGAGAGGGCTGCAGCAGGCAGGTCACTGTCCTACCCATGAAGCTGTGTCCATCCCTGAGGGAGACTGGATGCTCTCATTACTGTGCCTTACCTTTTCAATCTTTTCATCAAGCATTCTGAAGAATTCTTGTTGGCTTTCGGAGATGTGCATGCTGGAAGGCAAAGGAACAGTGTCAGTACCAACAGGATTTCTTCCATTATAGAACAGCCCAGGGTTGTTGAGGGGCTCAGCTGTCAGCTTCCACCACTGCGGAAAATAAATCGCTTTACGCTTTCATCTACAATGTCAATTTTTAATCTTTTTTCCCCCCCTGTTTTTTGTTTGCCCATGAAAAATCACTGCATTTAGTTCTGTGTACATGTGTAGCACTTGGGGTGGTATCTGGGATCCACACACATGCAGAGGAGACTGTTCCCTTTTCCAGGCTGACTGCAGGAAGTTGATAGCACAGAACCTCTCCCTCTGACAGGAAGAGTGGCAGCCCCCTCTCCTTCAGGAGGTTTTCCAGGACTGCCAACCTCACCACCATAGAATGAGACACCCACAACGTGAGGTTAAAGACTGTCCTCTTGTCCTGCCACTTGTTATGGGGGAGAAGAGACTGACAACTGCTACAGCCTCCTGTCAGGAGCTGTGCAGAGCCACAAGGTCCACCCTGAGCCTCCTTTTCTCCAGGCTGAGCCCCTTTCCAGCTCCCTCAGCCCTTCCTGGTGCTCCAGACCCTTCACTTCTACTAATTCTTCAGCACAAAGAGGCTCATTGATATGATTTTGCATTAGTAAAGAGGACTGGAAAACACTCTTTTTTCATTGTCTGCAAAACACTGATGGTCACACAAGACCACAGGTCCTTCCCCATGGGGAACATGCAAGCTAAAAACACAGAAAGGATGAGGAGACAAGGGTGAGGACGGATGGCAGGTGGTATTTGGGGTGTTTATTTATGCCTAGGGGATGGCAGGTGGTATTTGGGGTGTTTATCTATGCTAGGGGATGATCAGAGCCTCCCCCCTGCAGGAGTAACCCTCTCCAGGAAGCTGAGGCTGGAGCATCCTCTGGCCCAGCAGCAGGGAGGAGCACTGGGCTCACAGGCAGCTGGGGAAACGTGCCAGGGACTCCATGTGCAACACAAAAAGATGCAAAAAGGGGAGGATGGGGACCGGAGCCAGCGGTGACAATGATGCCAAACAGTCAGAAGGACACACAGCTCTTGGAGATTTTCCCCCAGCACAGAAAGCTGGCTTGGCTTGCTGAATTCCCACCCATCCCCTCTTCCTCAGAGTGATCCTTTCAGCTGTAGTGAGTTCATGCTCTCCCTAAGTGCCCAACAACGGGCTGCACTTCCCCACAAAGCTCAGCATTGAGCCCTCCCTGCTATGGGCTGGATGTATACAAAGATCTGCTTATGTGGGACATAAATGGAGCTCAGTTCACACCAGGAGGGCTCAGAAATGGCATTAAAACCTAAAGCTGGTGATTCACCAGCAGGAACAATTCACCTTTCAGTGGTTGAGGGAGTTCCTGTCCCCAGCTGTCTGCCTGTTCCTCAGGTTCCCACCTCCACCTCAGATGGGGAAGAGATGCTTTTTTTGGGACAGCTGACCCCATCACCTGCATATTCTGGTGCTTTGCAGAGGGTTTTAGGGCAGCGCAACCTTTTATGAGTGGGCAAGTGCTTGAAAAATAGTCTTGCCTTTACAACATCATAAATCCAGTTTCTAATAAAATGAGATAATACTGTACTGACTCACCCCAACCATAATTCGTAAGAGAACTAAAAGAAGGCAGAGGGAAAAAAAGGAGTATTGTATAGTCATATCCCTGAAAATCCCCACAGGATAATCCTACAGATCTGGTCTAGTGGAAAATGTCCCTGCCCATGGCAGGGAGGTTGGGTTAGCTGATTTTTCATGTGCCAACCCAAAGCACTGTGAGAGTTTGTGATTTGGCAGGGTAAAAGTGGTGTGAAATAACCACTTTCATTTGATACTTCAGGCTGCTGTCACTCCCTGAGTCACGGACCTGTCCCAGGGTACTTGGTGGGTGTGTGTTTGATCATTCAAGGTGTCAGGGGTGAGTCTGGTGATGAACAGACAGGGCAAGTGCCTGTGAGGTTGGGGCAGGGTGCAGGGGGAGCCCTGAAGGTGTGGCAGGTACCAGGACTGGGTGTAAAGAGGAAGGACCAACCCTTCTCCCTCTGCCAAAGACCCCCATAAAGCTACTGCTGGCTCCCCACAGCCCCTGGTTTTAAAGTCCAGGGCTCTGGATGGAAAAATCTAATTCCTCCTGCAGGGGGAAGAGCCCTCACAATCTTACTCTTCAGTTGACATCAAAATATTGTAAAATAATTGTAAAGTACCAAATTTATAATTTGGTACTCAGTCCATGTTTTGTTTAGAAGTAACACCCACTGTACCAGAATAGTACTGTAAGATGCATCTAATGATCCATCTATTAATCTCTGCTCTTCCAGCTGAGTAGACCTTTTCCACCCAATGACACCCCACCCTACAGTCAGAATTGTCATGGTTTTTAGATGATAAACCTTAAAAAAAGCAAATAAATTGTACATTATAACAGCTGCCTGCTGACTTGGCAATTAGCAGTTCAAACATGTGGCCACTTTATGAACAGAAATGCTGTGGTAGGTTGGGCAAACAGCAGAGCCCTGGGCAAACACTGGGGATCTACCCAACAACCTTATGTTACATTCTGCACCTCTCTAGGAAGTATCCTTATTTCTGCAGGTCTGTGACAGATATATTTATCTCTGTCAATGCAATGTAAAAAATGGGCTTTTTGGTCAGTTCTGATTTCTGTTGGGACTTTTCAAATTAGAGTTTTATGAAGGAATGGAAGCCATGGCCCTGTGCAATTCCTCTGCTGTGGATGTTCCAAAAGATGACCCAATGAAAGAACAGCTCTTAACAGCTCTTTTTTATCCCAGAGTAATTAACCTCATGTAAGAGCATCTTAAATACATCTCTGACCCTGCTGGAAGGACTGAGCCACAGTAATGAAGCACAGCATTGCTGAAGAGTGCTTCTACCTCCACCTCCCTACCATGAATTTCTTTGCAATTGCATCCAAAGCACTTGGCTTTTCCCTTTGAAAAGAGGCTGAATTACACTGTCAGCTGATTAGGAAACAGCTGAAGCTTCCAGACTTGAAATAGTGTTCAAGCCAATTGAGAGGCAGCAAGTTTTAAGTTAGTAAGTGCCCCAAGGGCAGGGCACAAGGAACAGCATTTCCACTGCTGTTCAAAACCCAAATCACAAACCTTCATCACTTGTTCTTCATGAACCCAGTATGTGGCTCTGTGCAATCAGTTATTCCTCAGCCAATTAGTGATTAAAATGTTACACTGAATTAGAAAAGAAATGAGTTACTACTATCAATAACCAGCTCTGCCACAAGAGGCAAATACTTCATGTAACACTGACTGACCCCAGGCAGAGCATGGGCACAGAACTGCCAACCAAGCAGCTACAGAACAACCTTCATTTTAACAACCTGACCATTCCCAGTCCTGGGCAGAACAGCTGCTAATCTAAACCAGGAACTAGCAAAAACTCAGCTGTATTTAGGAATACCAGTGGATATAGAGAAGTTTGTTCTGTGTAAGTTGTATAGAAAGCTGAGTAATAGCAGAGGGCCTTCTGTTTGGCACAATAGGATGCATCTCACCTTTCTTCAAGTCCTGCATCTTTGCTGTGCAAAGAAGTGGATGCTTCCCAGCCTTGGGACACAGGTGATCTTACCTCTAGCACTCAACTCAGCATGACTTTAGGGCTGCTAGGTCATCTGGTCTTTGCCCAGGCAGTAATTGTGAACCTCACGGACAGTGCTTTTGATTATTTGTATTATGATTTAAACAACAAAAACTGAACTTACTTTGCTCTGGGTTGATGTACTAATCCTGGGATCTCTTTATTAGATTTAAGTCTTGCATTTGAACTGGCACTTTTTTCCTGAAAGACACAAAGAGCACACAACAGCATCAGTATTTATTAAGCACACAAAGGTGACAGGCATTTGTCATCAGGGTGTCACACTCGGCTGGGTCCAGGCTCAACCGAATGAGAAAAGCTCAGCAAAAATGAAATCAGAGATAACACAAGAGATGAAATGACCCCAGGTGGGCAATTTTTAAACACCCTGGGCTCAGTGGCATGTGGAATTGCCTCTGGGTCACTGGATGAAATCCAGGGATCAAACTCCATGCTGGCTGGTAACTCTCCAGCGGTCCATGGAAAATGGGGGGTGCTCATATAAATCAATAACAGCACCAGGCTCCACCTCCCCCAGAGCAAGGCAAAGCACTGGGAAGGCAGTGCCAGAGTCACCCAACACCCCCAGGCTGGCTCAGAGCAGAGTGGGGAAGCATCAGCATCAAGGAACTGTCTGCAGGAGGAAGCACGTGTCAGATGTGCCAGGGAAGAGCAGCAACTGCTCAGCCACAAAACTGGGCACAAGGGGCCCAAAGAAGCAAGTCAGCTCTGATGATCCCAAAAATAAGGATGTGGGGCTGCTGGAGAGAGTTCAGAGAAGGCCACAGAGATGCTCCAAGGGCTGGAGCCCCTCTGCTCTGGAGACAGGCTGGGAGAGTTGGGGGTGTTCACCTGGAGGAGGCTCCAGGGAGACATTACAGCTCCTTGCAGTGCCTAAAGGGGCTCCAGGAGAGCTGGAGAGGGACTTGGGACAAGGGATGGAGGGAAAAGACAAGGGGAAATGGCTTCCACTGCCAGAGGGCAGGGATAGATGGGATACTGGGAAGGAATTGTTCCCTGTGAGGGTGGGCAGGCCCTGGCACAGGGTGCCCAGAGCAGCTGTGGCTGCCCCTGCATCCCTGGAAGTGTCCAAGACCAGGCTGGACAGGGCTTGGAACAACCTGGGATAGTGGAAGGTGTCCCTGCCCATGGCAGGGGGTGGCACTGAATCGGGCTTGAGGTTCCTTCCAAGACAAACAGGTCTGTGTTTATAGACAAGAACAGAACACTGTCCTTTGCAGAGGACCAGAACCATTAAAAACATCTTTAAAAAGGCCTGGGAAGGGAGAGTTGAGAGCCAGCACTGCTTGGTGAGACCTCCTCATCATGTCACAAGCTTCTGTAACCCAAAACTTAGTGCACACACATGTCTATTATCTCCAAAAGCCTTCAGAGGGATACAGCCCCTTCCAGATCCTCCCGGTGCCATGTGTTAGGGAAAGCTGCTGGGGCAGATGGGAGAGGTCTGAGTCAAATCTTAGAGCTCACCAGCTCCATAAATCCCTCTGTATTTCTCAGGCACGTCACACCCATGGCAATTTAAGAAACATAAACCAAAGAATCATGTTTTTGTGGGTAATTTCAGTGGTTTTATTTAGCCTTATTTAGTCTTTGTATGTCTGAATCACACAAGATTTTGGAAAGGGCTACTAAATCACTGAATAAAAAAAAAAAAAGAAGGCTGTCTAGCAGTTAATATTTTAATGAATAATTATACAAGGGCTGTAAACATCAACTGCCTCAGCATATTTAACACTGTTTAATGCATATCTTCTAATCCTCCTAACCAGGGAACAGTGCCTTGCATGAAAATAGCAGTGAGAGAGAAACAAGCCCTTCTTCCAGCCTTAACAAGGGTGTCTGTGTTTGCAGCCACTGCCTGCTCAGGATCCTGTGATATCACGCCAGAGCAGCAGAACAAAAAACAAAATCACTTTTTTCAAAGCATCTTCCACTCTCAGCAGTGCCAGGAGGGTGTGACGTGTCCATGTGTGTGATGAACACGTGTGTACACAGCCACACCACCCATGAGCTCATGTCTGACTCGCATGGCTGTCAAGGCAGAACAAAAAGAGAGGCATGGGTCTCAAGGAGAAGACAACAAAGCCACAAATCAGCTAAACCCCAGCCTCCTGAGCCTTCATCCTCAGATCTGCTCCACAGGACAGGAAGGGGAAGGGAAGACTCTGATCTACAGCTCCTGTGTTGGAAGCTGTGATAAATCAAGGCAGCACAAACTCAGCTTTCCACATCTCTGCTGTGGTTTGGTGTCAGTGCAGCTCTATCAGGAGCTGGAGTCAGTCCAAATCCCAGCCTAAAGAAACTTCTGGCACTTAGAAACAAATAGAAAGACACAAGAAAATTGTATGTTGCCTTCTCACTGTGGGTCCCAGAGCAATATTCAGAATATTAACTGACACGCATGGGAAAAGAGAAATAAAATTCCTGTTTAGTTGACTTCAAGATTCCAGAGTTTACTATTTCCCTCCTGTTGCTCCTGTTAATTACCACACCTCAATTATCTATTACAATTCTCCTATTTAAGAAAAGAGTAAGTTACCTTCTCCATCTGTTGCTCAGCAGGAACAGACAGAAAAGGAAGAGTTAAGAGAAAAACAAAACCCAACCAGGTCTCAAATTAGCTCATTGCTTTGTTTATAATTCTTATTTACAGCAGTGATATTTCACTGCACTGATCGAAATATTGGCTTGGATAAAAATAGATATTCAAAAATAATTCTTCCAAATGCAAACAAATACAATATTTTTTTTTTCCTCATAGCTTTGAAGACAAACTGACTCATCAGAAATTAATGGCTTGGCTTCTAATACTGAGCTAACAAAACCACCTTGAAATGCTTTAATGCAGTCAGATTGTTCTTCCAGACTGACTTGACTTTGGCTGAAGGGTCACTTCTTGCAGTCCAACCTCATTTTCTCCCTTATTTAACATTAAGTAAGTTACCATGCACCAAAAGAACCACAACTGGTTTTAGAGGCCTAATCTGTAGCAAATTGAAATGAGTATGCAGAAGCTTGGTTTTAATCTAGCTCTGCTTATAAGGATTATTTACAATAAATGCAGTAAATGCTGCCTCACACCACAGGCTTGAAAGGAAATCCCCCAGCATGCTGCACTTGCAGAGCAGCAGTAGCAAAAAAGGAGAATAGTGGACATTTTATTCCACATTGTTTTGCAATTAATCATTATCAAGGTAGGGCTGTCATCCAATCAAGGTGATTTCATGTGATAGATTTGTTAATTATTGTTAATTTCTCCATAAAGGATGCACTATCTCCAGGATTTCAGGGCACTAACAGATGGCAGTGACTCTGCTGCCAGATGCTATTAACACAGCAACAGCCACTACTGCCATTATAATTAAATATCTGTCAACATTTCCCTTGATGCCTCCCCTCTGACAGGCCCATTTCTAGAGACATGTGAACTTCATTTGAAGTATTTTGTTTTTCTTCATCAGGCTGCCACAGATTGACTCAGGTAAGCTGCTAACAGTCCTTATAAAATAATATTCCTGATTTATATCAAGGTGACACTTTTCTTCAAAGGAGCCAACAGCACATTTAAACTGCTTTCTAGACCTGAGCAAATCATCATTAAAGTCAGTTAGAGGAAAAATGAAGTATTTGTTTTCTTTTTATACCATAAAATATTCTTTAAAATAATTGTATTTGAAAAGGAGGAAGCAAATGCATCAGTTAGAAATTGATTGAATGATGAGATGTTAAATTTCAATATGCCAGCCCAGCACTTTTTAACCTCACTCAGTCATGAGCAGCAGCCTCAGGTAGTAACACCTCACATGGGCTGTCTGGATCCATCAGGATGAACAAGGGAGAAGCACTGACCCATGAGATTTACTCGAGTTTCCTTGCTTTATATGTACCTAAGGGCTCATTTTTTGTGCTGCCCTTTGGCAGGAGGAGAGCCTCTCTTTTTTTCTCTGTCTACCTGGAAGCAAAACCACCTGAAAACGTTATTTAGGGTAACTTTATAACGAAGGGGCAAATCAAATATGGAAAAATCTCAGATACTAGTCAAAGGAGATTATTCTGGGATGCAATTTCATCAGGGGAATCACATTAGCCCTGCCGGAGTGTGTACAGGCATCCAGTCCAGAAGGGTGTCTGAAACAGAATGTTTTAATAAATACTCTTGCTGTGCCAGGTCAGCCCAGCACGAAGGAGCTGCCCATGATGCCCCACCCCTGTCAGCATCTCCATCCTTAAATCCTTTTTATCCTATCATCCTTTTTATCTCTAATAAAATTCCTGCCCAGTTCCTCCTATCCTGATGATAGGAGATGTCTAAAAGCTGTCTGGACTTGACCCTGGGCAGAAGGTTCCAGACAGCCCTGCTTGAGTCATGGGGCTGGACCAGATGACATCCAGAGGTCTCTTCCAACCTCACCCAGCCTTTAGTTCAGTGATAAAGTATAATCAGAGCCTGGAAAAACCCACTTTTGAGTAGGTTTGTTGAGTTTTATCCCCAAGCAGCAGTGGGAGAGACTGAGGCCATTCAGGCATGCAAAAGGAAGGCAGCAGCAGACACAGGGCCTGGCATTCATCTTAGAAAAAAAACCTGATTCTGCAAAGCCAGCCAGCACCACGCAGTGAGTCTGCACTGACACAGGCAGTGTAACCCAGGCTTGGCAGGGAAAAGTCCCCTGCTTTCATCAGGGATCCAAAACGTGTTCCAGAGGGCAGACCTCATCCTGAAACCAGCCACTTAATGGAGCTCCTCCTTCCCAGGGAAACTACTGGGAAATTCTGCTGTAGGAACCCCAGCTCCTGGAATGCAGTATGGAAGTACAGGATTTGTAAAGCCCCCCAAAAAAGTAAAATTACTCAAAATGAGATACAAACAGGTAAAAAAAGAGAAATGAGTGGCTTTCTGCAGCTAACCAAAGGGCCTCCATTGCTGAGAAGACAGGGAATGCTGCTTTCAGTGTTTATTCACCAGTCATGCAGAGGGGCACACACAGTGGTGCAGTAACACATTGATAATTATTTTTAAATGCTTTTGAGATGCTAAAAACTATGAAGGGATTATTTTCAGAAGAACATCTAAGATGCCCTTTACACTCAACTCAAGCTGCATGAGCTCAAAAATCGGAAAAATCCAGCCAAAAATATAAAGTCAGAAAAATAAATAAGAAAACAAAGGAAGATGAAGGCAA